TGCTATGACATCCAATGTCTGCGTGCACGACCGCTGTAGGCATATCAGTAGCCCTCTCGCGAACAATGCGTCAAGCTTTTCATTCCGCACCCACGGCGTCCACCTGGTTCGTTCGGGGCTGATACGACTACCGGTGAAAAAGAGTACATACTGTTCGAACGCACACCACTGCGACCCCACCAGAGGACTGCAGAGCCAACGGGGACATTGCATGCCCCATCCTGGGTGCAATTCTGCCGACTCTGCTTTCATTAATGCTTCCGTGCATTTTTTGAAGCACAGAGGGCGACATGTTGGTCTTTTAGTAGCCTGTCGAAGCGGCTCCCGCTGGAAACCCAATGCACCAACAATTTTAACGATTGACCCTTGATTTCAGAATGGTCGATTTTGACCGCGCTTGATTTGCATTATCGATGCAAAGTAGCATCACATCGCGGTCGTCGCTGCGTTTTACATCAGCACGCCATACTAACCAGTCCTGTGATTGCCTCCACATCCATTTCTGATCGTCACTTTTTCATCACTGCTGCCACTGATCACGTTTCGTCAGCTAAGGTATGCTCATCATCGCCTGCAACTATCGCTTGCTAAGATCAGAGCTAGCTTACATCCGCCTGCATTGATTAACGCCTCCTTCCACGCCCTGAATGCATTGGCTAGGTACCCCGTGGATCGTCGGCTCGGTCACCACATCATTCTCCAGTCGGTGCTCTCTCATCCGCCCTTCGTCAAGTCAAAGTAGCATTGCGATTGTTCACAAACGCTGAGATGCTCGTTCTCGCTGCTCCTCACCCTCGCTACTTCTCAAGCTCTTCGACACTGGAGCGAGCTGCTCGCCACTGCTACGAATTCCTGACAATTTTTACGTATTCGGCGTTACGTCTTAGCCAACCACACTATCTAGTAAGTAGTACCTCTCCTCCGACCAGCTGGTACCTAATTGACACCCACAACTTATAACCTTCAAATTCTTCCCAGCATCCAACAAGTTCATCGGCAGACTCTCTGGTTGAGACACGAATCTGTAGATATCAGCATCTAACCTCTGTGAGACCTTTCTTCTTGCACCGAGCTCCGCTGTCGGACACTGACACAATCTCATGTTCAGAATTCATCGTCGTGCACGGCTCACCCGTCATTCCTCCTTCCTTCTATTCTTGTCAGGCCACTCCTCTTCGGTCAATTGTGGGTACGTTGTTGCCAGCCCCACAGGAAGGAACGTTGCTCAGTCTACTTTGACAGCACCGTGACACGATGTGTTCTGCTTACCTACCTGTATTAATGCCTTTTCTATACAAGTCTGTGTCCTTCTTCCGCGCCACGATCAAACTCAGCACTGACATCACAAGTCTGAGTACTAATATCTAGCCTGATCATGCAGTCGAGCTCTCGATATGACCTTGCATCAAAGCGTCTTACCATCGTCAGTCATCTCGTTTCCTCTAGCACACCTAGAACTTGGAATTCCAATACCGCAGACGGGCTGTAAATGAGAGTCCAATCTTGATTCTCAAGTGCATCTTGGAAAGAGAGGCAAAGCTGCCGAAGCTATGCTACATGATATAGCGGCCCGTATAGTATGCATATGACGGTCGTCTCAGCCCAAGAAAGCTCAGCCGTGAAAAGATGTACTACTAGCCTTAGCACACATACTCCATTACATACCCCTGAGAGCAGATCCCTCCAATGCAAGCGCTCGTCTCATTGTCAGCACTTTGAACGTCTGTGGATCGACTGGAAGCACTAGACTCGTACGTTTACCAGCGCGTTGTACCTACGCCCTCGAGTGAGATGACTTGCACGTAGATCGAGCACATCATGAGCCGAGACCGTAATTGCTTGGAGGAGTTGCCTATGGCCGATGTAGTATTACCCATAGGTATTACCGAGAGATTCATGAACATCTCGAGGAACATACTATCGACGCTGTCTACCTTCGGGTCTACAAGAACCTTGACTACTAGGTAGCGAAGGAAGCATACCTAGTGCCGAAGCCATAATGTGATCAAGTGGTATTGACAATACTGGGGCGATGGGATTTCAGATGCTCGAGTTCGATGAACACTTCGCTGGCAGTGGCAAGGGTCAGACGAGGCTCCACCAGCGCTCACGAACAGGTAGATGGCGAGAATCTCCGGCCAGTGACAAGCCCTGCTCAGGGAGGATGCATGTAGGCTGCGGCAACGGTCACGTATCAAATTGCTGAGAAGGGTCGGCATCAACCGGGGCCGGCTGGCATGGACACATGGTGGTGGCTATGGCGCTCTGGCGCTGGGGTCAACGGGCAACAGTTAACCATCTCGACGAGCAGCCTGCATTGAGCACCGGAGCGTGTTCCCGGGGTCGACAGATATGCGCAGCGCATGAGTGCAGAGAAGAAAATGCCAGTTTGGACAGCGAGCAGCAGCGCCGGGGCTGATGGAATGGATGAGATGGCAGGTCTAGCTTCCTAGGCCTGTCGAGGACGAACCCTGCTAGACAAGCACATTCACGCGGAAGACGACAGGATGACCGTGAATGGACTATGACCGTGAATGTGCTTGTCGTCCATCAACCAGCAGAGTAATGCTTCGTGTCGTGCTCGTCGACGTGACAAATTAGGTATGCCGCCCGCAAGCGAAGGCGATGATGTGGAGTTGAATATACTAGTAGATGGCAGTTGGAGAGCGGTCCTGCGAAGGCTCGACCGCGAACGTGTGCGGAGGCGCGATGACGCGACAGGCGTCGACGTTGGTGCGATGCGGTGTGGAGAGCGGGCCACGGCAGGGCTGAAGGCGAGAGGATGCACACACGCAGAAAGCAGGACTTTGGCTGCGGTACCGACCGGTTGGGGTCAGACCTAGGTCCTGATACCCATGATGAAGGACGAAGAAGGCACGCGCAAAATCTGGCGCTCGGAGAGAAGTGTCATGTCTTCAAGACAAATGTTACGAAGACGATCACGATTGACCAAGATACAAGACACCTCTGGTCCAGAGTGTTTTCTCGACTGGAAGACAACTTGAATCTTGACTAGAATTTAAAGACACTCTTGACCAGACGGCACTCTTGTGTAGGATTTTAAGATACTTTGGACTAGAATTCAGTAGCACTCTTGACTAGAAGACACTCCCGAGTAGAATTTGAAGATACCTGGGACCACAATTTACAGACACTGTTGACTAGAAGACACTCTGGGTAGATTTTAAAGATACATGTAACTAAAAAGATACTTCTGTGTAGAGCTTGAAGACACTCTTGACTTGAAGAACAGTCATATATGAAGCCGAAGAAGACGGACCCTGGACGGGGCTCGCGAAGGAATTGGCAGGAAAGCGATCGCTGGAATACTTTTCGGACCATGAGTCAGAGAGTATGCGGAAGATCTGTGGATGCGTTGGAGACGATCTTCGACGTGTACTCCAGCCCACCTGGCTCTCGGGGAGTGATGCAGTTCATGACACAGAACTGAAGATAAGATGCCTCTTTGACGGTGGCGAGATCTGTAGCTTCTTCGAATATTTGTTCCAAGTTCGTGAGGGCCTTCGGCATGTTCTTCACCGTGACCTCGTAACATTTTGGCTTTGAAGTGTCAAACCACCACTGTTGTAGCATTGATCGCTGAGACAACAAGCCTGCCATTTTCATTTGACAAATGGCGTATGTAGGTAGGGTCCAGCTTACAGTTGAGCAGCGCAGTCGCCTCGCAAAATGTCTAATTCTCCTCTCTTATGTGGCCAATGCTTTGCCTAATCTGGTTCGGCTTCATGTCTGAGAGGTCTTTTGGTGTCCCTACGTTGCATGGCAATGGGTCGTTGTAAACTTTGGGCTTCTTGGGCGCTGATGGGCTCTCCAAAGGGCTTCCAGGTCGCTTGCTGGCATGCTGGGGAACTGATGGCTGATGGCTCACCATTCTGACAGATTGACGGGCAAAGCAATGATGATGATGGGTGTGATGATCTGATCAGGAAAGACATCAACGAGGGGAGATCAGGAACTCGAGTCCTGACACCCGCTTCACTGGGTGGTTCTCACGAAGACTTGACCAAAAACCCCGAAAACCACCTACAGTCTACAGCAGCATGAACAGCGATATGGGGATCGCACCCAAAGCCTGAAGGGGCGGGCTGTAGCAATTCGGCGCCAGCCTTGCTGGACGGATCACTGTGAAGAGATACTGCGGCAATGTGTGGTAAATTGTTCTCAATATTCAGCAACTATGGTTCCTGATCAGACCGCACGAGGTGCCGCTGAAGGTCGAGACGGCCGCGTCAACGCGGATTAGGGAGTGAGAAGCATTCAGCATGTAACATCCACTGGTCTCGCCGCCCATGAAAGGTTGGGTTCGATGCTTCATACCTTGGACGAAGGCTCGGCAGGCTAGAGTAGGCGGATACAAGCAGTCGACTAGCAGACTCGAGCTTGAGATCCGAAACTGCAAGATCGCTTGGGAATTTTCCAAGTTTCTTCTGGAGATCGCGCCCCACCTCCCCGCGTCTTGCCAAGCTTTACATGCTCAACTCCCTACGCGTCTCTCGTCTTCGTGCCATGACAGAACGTCTCTGCATTTACCTCTTGTCAGTCAGTGCTGTCTTGCCGGTGTGAATTATCTGCGAGCTGAGTAGGAGAAAGCAAAACATCACCATGCTTCGTGAAAGGACTCTGGAAGTTTTCAACGAGGACCTCTGAGTTGTGGCGCTTCCAAGTTGTGGAGCCCCATTCACTGCCTGAGTTTCAAAGCTTCCACGGCTCAGCAAAAAGCTCTGAATACCGAGTTTGGAGCGTACAATGCCTTGGCTAGACTTGCATATCCCGAGTCTCTTCGCAATGTTCCATCGCTAGGCGGACAAGGCTATGCAGGATGCAGCGTAGCCCAGGATAAGCTTCTACCCGCCAAGCAGTTACGTACCGAATGATAGAAGTGGGGGAGCTCGACCTGCGAGCACACGACTTCCTTCCTCTTCCAGATTTTCGCCTCGCTCCTCACTCACAATCCCGGCACACAGCACTCGTTGACCACGATGAAATTCACCGTGAGCCCCTCCGTGCCCACCATCTGGCTGGCTTTTGCCCGTCTCACAGCGTACGCATATCCTATCGCGCCGCAGCTCCAGCACTGGCCGGCCGAAGCCGCCACGGCTCTCAATGCCATGATTGCCGCCAACGCCAACAAGGGTAACTACGCGTGCTTCGACATGGACAACACGAGCTACCGCTTCGATCTGGAAGAGTCTCTACTGCCATTCCTCGAGAACCGCGGCATATTGACCCGCGACAGTCTCGACCCTTCGCTGAAGCTGATCGACTTCAAGGATACCGATGAGTTCACCGAGACCCTGTACAGCTACTACGTCCGCCTGTGTGAGGTCGACGATCTGGTATGCTATCCGTGGGTGGCCCAGGTCTGGAGTGGCCTGACCTTAGGAGAACTCAAAAGGCTACGTGGACGAGCTGATGGCCTCCAACGAGACCATTCCGACCAAGTACTGGGACGGAGATGAGGTGGTCGAGGATGAAGTGACACCGCCGCAGATCTTCCAAGGCCAGGTAGAGCTGTACAATGCGCTCATGGCCAACGGTATCGACGTCTACGTCATCACCGCCGCCAGTGAAGAACTCGTTCGTTTCGTTGCGAGTGATCCCAAGTACGGATACAACGTGCCTCCGGAGAATGTCATCGGCGTTACTACCATGCTCAAGAACGCCACGTCGGGCGACCTGACCAACGCACGGAAGCAGATTGAGGAGGGCGACTACGATGAGCAGGCCAATCTAGGCTTGGTCTTTGGACCCTACTTGTGGACACCAGCGACATGGTTTTCCGGCAAGTGGGCGGCAATCTTGACAGTAAGTTCTCTTTGCGGTTGAGTCTCTCGACAAGCATGGTTTCGGTTGCCCACACACGTGTGAAGACCTCACTGCCCGTTGCATCTTGAGCGCCGTCTTGGGCAGCCACCTTGCTGACATAATCACCAGTACATCGATCAGTGGAAGAAGCCCATACTGGTAGGTGGCGACACACCCGGATCGGACGGTTACATGCAATTCCATGGGGTCGACATCGGAAAAGGCGGGATTCACCTTTGGATTAACCGATCGGCGAGTGCGTTCGAGGAATTGAATGAGATGATAGCCGAGAACTCGGCGGGCCAGGCGGAGAATGGGCTAGAGGTGACGGCGGACAAGAATTGGGTGATAGTGCTCCCAGAGGACATCCTGTGATAAGAGATCTGGATGATAACCACACAGCATTCTTGATGTATTTTGTTGCTTCTGCAATCGTCAGCTTGAGTTCGGCTCAATTGCCCCAGGTAGATGCGGGCACTTGTTTTGAAGAGGCGCCTCAATAGCGCGGGCCGTAGTCTGGATGATGAGGCGTAGGTAGCGATGAGCATTCCGTGAAGACAAATTGGGGTAGATGTGTCCATGGACGGGAGCAGAGCATGGGATAGGGGTGATGACCATAACTATCCTGCAGAGAATCCGTCAAGGCACGCTCAGCATGTCCTTCCTGTCTATGAGCACTGGGTCAGCGACCTGCTTTTACGCAGGCACTGGTCGAAGCATAAGAACAACCCCAGTAGTACCCGACCCACCCCACTTGGCCAAATCAAAATCTAACCTGCCAATGTCCTGAAAACCATGCTTCGCATACAGCCCATGACCGGCCGACGTAGCTTCCAGGTACGCCGGTAAGTTCAGCTCCTCCGAGCGCTGAATGCCCCATTTGATCAGCATGCTACCGGCCCCACGACGTTGGTGCTTCGGATCGGTATGGAGGAATTTAAGAACTGCAGGAGGTCAGCTTGCGGAGCAGGATCCCGTAGTTCCACTTACAGATGTGAGGCTTGTCGCCCATCACCTGCTGTCGCTTGGCGTCGATGGAACCGAAAAATGCTTCACAGACTTCGGGGTTGCTGCCTGGACCAAACTCGCGCGGTGGGGGCTCGGGTATTGGCTTGCCAGGTTCGTAGATGTGCCACTGAGCGAAGCCTGAGTGAGGTCGTTAGCGGCGTGTTGGATGGGAGAGTGCAAAGTCTGCAGAGGCTAGGGAGTCACATCTAGGATAGCAGAGTGTGTCCGGATCATTAAAGGTCTGTGGCACACTTACCGATCATTTGCCCTGTTTCCGTATCGACGGCCTTGAGCCAGACAATGCTCGCATCCTCGCGTTTGTGCTTCAGGATAATTGCTGCGCGCTTTTCGCTGGCGTCAGGAGGCATAGGACCAGGGAAGAGCAAGGGTTCAACAGGATCTTCGGATTCCGTATAAGCCAAGTGCTCGATCTCGAAGGATCGAGGAGCATCCTCATCGCTAGCGTATTCGACTTTAACCGGCATATCGACAACGTTGGAGGTGGCTAAGTAGCAGTCCCGGTATACCGCAGTTGAAGAGTGTGGCATATATCAGGTCTCTAGGCAACATTCACTAGGCCGCTTCGAGGTGCATTGCCGACCAGCAAGACGTAATTAGGTGAGTCATCGGGATGCGCCTAAAGCCGCCGTGACCAGGTGACTTCGGAAAGCTTGATTACTAGGTACTTCTGGGTGAGACTTTCCGCCAGGAGCTTCTGCAATGTAGCAAGAAGGCGGCGGCACGCGCGAGGTGGTGCAAGAGTTACGAGAGGAGAGGAGCAGATGCTAAGAATCACGGAGTTGTCGGAACAATATTCTGCCATCCTGGTGCTCATACAATGTGTAAGTGGATGACAGGGCTTCTCGAACGTGCTTGCAATGTCGTTCGTTCTCACGACGTATGCGATTTGATCTTATGAGTATCTATTGACTAGCAGTGGGAGGTTCGGGGCACAGGTCGTGCAAGGGCTGTACCGAAGCCAGCCGCAGCGCGACATTGCCGACACGGTCGCCTTGTTGAGCAGTGGCGTTCAGACGCAGACGAGCCGGCATTATGGGATGCTTCGTCATATCACCCCACAAGAAGTCGATCGTTTTCGAGCAGGAGATTGCCTCTGCTCCGAAGGGTCTATCGTATGCCGACACAGCCGCTGTACCCCGTCAGTGTACTCACGGCGCGGCCGCCCTTCTTTGAGTACCTGAAGTACACTCGATTGTATGCTGGCGAACCGGAAGCCAAGGACGAGTCTTTGCATGCTGGTAAGGAGTGCATCAGGAGGCGCCGGCTTGTGGGCTGTGGAGTTAATTCATCCTCTTCGGCACATATGTTGTGGGCATGCATCTGAGCTTGGCCTGGTCAGATCTCTCGTAGCTGACAGGGTCATCGTTTGGTGAAGCAGCATTCCGCCTGAAGCGTGGGCCGGGGAAGACCTATCATACCGCGCGAATCTTGTTGTGAACTGTGTGGCGAGGGAGGCTGCGCAATCTTTCTGGGACTCGCTGGAAGAGAGCCGACGTCGTGACCAACGTGCCGCCAGCTGATATGAGGTGGAAGTGAGTTATCGGAACTCCGCCTGAAATTGCGAACGGGGTGAGAGGCACAGCCTTCCCGTATGCATCATTGGGGAGAGCAGCCTGGGCAGGTCGCAGGACTCATTGACGCTGGCCGATTCAAGCCCACCACTGACAGCGTCTATTCTCTTGAGAGCGGTGTCGAGGCTATCAGAGGGCCGGCTCTGGGAGAGCCACTGTCAGTGCAGGATTGAAGGTGGTGGAGATCTGATGGTCCTCAATTCACCTCTGTTCCACCTGGACCCTTCTGCGTCTTCTTGCCCCACCTACCAGTCTCACTCCACAGCGGCATCGCACTTGCTCCGCCTCTTTCAATACAGACCGCCAAAAAGCAAAAAAGCAAGCGGGTTTGCATCAGCCGTGAATCTGGGTGTTGTTAGAAGGGCTGCTACTGCTGAGGAGGCTTCCGAATGACTTACCGAACACGGGGCCCGTCGATGGCAACGACGGATTTTACCACTAAACCACTTTTCGGCGTTAGTGATATGGTCGACGATGTCTAGTAAGACAAGCTTACCTGATGCTGATATTCAGTCGTATTTGTGTGCGATTGTTGGCGGCAAATTTCGAGTATCTTGTATACAAGGTCTGTGCGGTGGGCCCCCGGAGCGGCCGAACAGGCATTGGGAATCTTGGCATGCACGACGTAGAATCCTAGTTCCATACCCTATGGGCTCGTCATAGCGAGTGACCGCAGCACCGAGCGGGTCGACGGCATGAGATCCGGGAGGGCACCAGGACGTATCCTCGACATCAATCATGCGAGATGGGCCAGTCCGAGGTAAGGCGCAAGCAAGCCCATAGCAAGGCAAAAGCAAATCGAAGATGTGACCAAAATCAAATCGGGATGAGGTCTGCTTATTTGCTGCCTTGAAAAGGCGGCGGGCCGGAATCATTCATCGGCTTTGTTCACATTTCCTGCCCCAAGGTGACCCACCCGGTGACATTCGTTCTGCAACTTCACCACATTCCCCAACCCAACCACTTCATTTCTTCACAGCCTCCTCTTCTCCGTCCTCTGCATTCACGAGCTTGCCCGAAACAACCATATTGTTGAGCCTATAGAAAGCCGTCTGAAGGCGCTCGAGCTCCTCCGTCACCTCACGCAGCCGAACCTGCAAGTCGATGTTCTCCTCCTGTGCCACCTCATTGGCGTGCTCGAGCCGTTTATTCTCCAACTCAAGGATGTCGTTCTCGGCAGCGAGCTTCTTCTTCTCGGCAGCGAGCGTCTTCATTTTGGCGTGGTCTTTGGCCAGCTCCATGTTTGTCTCGAGGAGCTTTGTTCTATCCTCGCGCAGTTTTGCAAGCTGGTCAACGCCGACAGTCGTCAATCTTGGGGGTCTGATATCGATTCCCGCATCCTCACGACTGTAGTCGATTCTAGGACGCTTGCTGGGACGATCGGACAGAGAAGACGGCATCTGATTATCGTGTATAGAGTCTGGTAGCGAGGGAAGCACAGGACTTGGCAAAACGGGCAGGGTTGGTGAGTCGAGACTGGCATAGCCAGCGTTTCTGTGGCTTGGAATCGGAATAGGTGCCGAAGGAGGTGAGGAGGTTATCTTGCCATCAGGAGTGGTCGGTAATGATTCGCCGGCAGCCATAGCTCTCTCGTCAGCAGCGCGGACTTGGTCATCAAACTCGTCTGCGCTGGTTTAGTATGGCTAGCCGCGAAGATTTTATCACATACCTGTGGTAACGGCGGTCTTAGAAGAATGTTCTGGCTTCAGCGACATCTTGCGGAGAAGGGTTGTAAGACTCTTCATTGATGCAAAGCTGTTTTGAGGATAGGTGATACCGCATGCGTAGCGAGAAGTGGCGAGTGAACTGAACAAGTGGCAGAGGTGGAAGAACAAGTTTGTTGCAAGAAGTTGAGACGCAGTGTGAAGGCGTCCAGCCTTGCCCCAGCCTTCTGCCTGTGTGAGTGAATAGCATCCGACAAACGCGACCACAACAGGACACGTCATCACAGTGAAAAGGCCGTTTTCTCATGAAGCTGAGCAGCAACACAGGAGGCGAGCTCCAGAAGACCCAGCTCGAAGTGGGAGCGGAAGACCGCCTGATGCACAATGGTGTTGTATTACACTATCCATATACTGCGAACCTACCTCATCGGTCTGCAAGCCTCCTTATACTTGTTCTCTGATAATAGAAACATGCAAGAGCAAACGCCAACGCAATGTCCGTTTGATGTCGCATCGCTCGTACAATATCGTCGCGTAGAGATCATCCTTTCGCATTGTATCGATCGTTAAATGCGTTCACGGCTGTAGGCAATCAGTACATAACCAATGAACAGTAGAGGCACACTTACCGACAGCAATCTGCTTGTAGAGCCAGTCCCGCTGGCTCTGCTCCGAAATGGGGACAAAGGGTCCATTTGCACCGCCTTTCAAGCCAATACTCATACCAGTCCTCTCCTTGCTGATGGTCTGAACATCGGTCAACTTGACATCCCACTCCATGCGCAGCTTCCGAGTTCTGATCATAAGAACCCGATTGTAGGTCAATAGAACCATCATGTCCTTGCCTTCGAGTTCAAGGTGTGCGATGTAGTCCTCGTTGAAATACTTGCCGTCATCACAAGTCTTCAACCAGAACTGCCCAAGCGCTTCTCGCTGAGAGTACGGGCGCACAATGCCGTCCATGCCGATGAAACGAGTCAAGCGAACACGATCCAAGCCTTCAGCATCAAACACGGTGGTTGTATTGCGCACGCCTTCGGCCACATTGGAAGCCAGATCGAAAGCGCCGATGGCGGGCTTCGTCGCGAGACCTAACATACCCTTTCCTACCCCCTTCACAAAGCCGAATGCGCCTTCCTTCTCTGCACCTTCTAACGGATGTCGAGCGAGGCCTCCGATTCCGCTAGCGACGCTTGTGGCAAACGCATTCCCGCCAGAAGTCACACCATACAGAGCATGCTTGGGACGGTTTCTGTTCTTGGACATGCGACGCTGGTCTTGGAATTCCTTGTCAAGGGTTGCAGCAGCCAGGCCCTTTGAGATAGATCCAGTGAACTTGGCCATACTGTCGCTGAAACCAAAGACGGATTTCTTGACGAAGCTGCTTGCTCCCTTGGCCATACCGATGCCTAGCTCCTGAGGACGATCGGTCATCACAAGTCCCTGGTATGGCTCGTAGAAGATATCGGCGACACCAGAGCTGACACTGTTGAAAAGACCAACAGGATTGCCGAGGAAGTCAGCAGATCCGAGGATAACATGAACCTGTCGAAGGACTTCTTGCGTGTAATGATTCCTGATGTTGGCAATGAGGGCGGGAACGGAGATACGAGCATTCTCCAGCATGAGTGCATTCAGCTTGATCGGTGCATCATTGACGTTGCCAATGGACATTGTCATGACATTGACAAAGAACATCATCGGGTTCGAACTCATTGTATCTTCGGCGTTGATCCTCTCGGTTCGGACGAATGACAGATCCAGCTGGATTGGTTGAAGATGCAGGAGCTCGAAGTACACGTCCTGGCCTTGTTCCTCGCGAGTTGGCTCGGGCACATCGACGGTCTCATCGCAAAGCTTTCCTTCCTTCTCCTCAGTCCAAGAGGCACCGGGGACTTTGGTGAAATCAAGCAGGGCGAAAATGAAGTCCTCATCAAGCTCGATCGTGATTTGCTGCAGCAACAGAGTGGCGTATTTGATGTAAAGAACTCCGTACCCGTCATCCTTGACACGAGTGACCATGGCGTGGAAGATCGGATGCGCTTCCATCTCTTTGCCTGTCTTTGGCACAACACTGGGATAGAGCAGAATGGGGAAGATGCCGCCATAAAGCTGATTGTCAATTTGTATCCACTTTGTCGTTGCACTGAAGGTCTGATACAGCTTCGAATCGCCGTACTTGAACTCGATTTCGCGGAAAGTCATGTACAGGAGTTCCCGTAAGCTCGAGTTGACAAGCGAGATGCCGATTCCAGCCAGACGAAGCTCGGCTTTGAAGTTGACCTCTGATTCGATCTGCTTCACTTCAAATCCTTGATTCACCGTAGTCTGCGATGTCGTAGACATGTTCGTCTGTTGCCGATACAGCGACCGCTGAGGTTTGTAGTTCGAGAGGACCAATGTTTGTGTGGGACCATCTGCAACAATGTTGACATCGATGATACGTGGTGATCCACCAGCCTGGCGTGGTGGTAGCTTGATCGGAATGAGGTTACCAATTTCGGCGAGCTTGACGTACCGCTCCCGGCCACCAGATGTAAGGACAAGCTCCTTGTTCCTTGATGCTGGATAGTCCCATGCGTAGGGCATGATGCTTCGGGCTGGTAGTTTGTAGCGGATAGGTTTCCAGCCACTACCCTTGTCTTCCTCCTCATCTTCATCAATATTTGGATTGGCCTGAAAGAATAGGAACTCTGTATCACTCTCATTTCTCATAGAGAAAGGCCAATGCTTTGTCTCAATACTGAAATGGAGGAAAAGGGTTGCACCCTCGAGAATGATCTCAACACGGACCAACTTCTGTCGCTGACCTTGCTTTGCCAGTTTGACATGAGTCATGCCAACATTGCCGAGATTGAAGGGCGACGACCATTGATTGTTTGCCCCAGGGAAGCACAGACATAGCTGCTTCTCTTGCACTTGCCGCATGAACTTCACGGGGAGCAGCTCGTTGCTTTTCAGCTTCATGACAGTGGATGATCCTGGTTCACGGAGTTCCAGGTCTTCGCCAATCTTGTTCTTCAAGATATAGCGAGGCGTGATGGAAATGACCTTGGACAGGTTATACTTGCCTTCTCCCTCCGAGACATCGACACCAACGTGCATCTCCGAACGACCGGACGCGGCAGGTAGCACAACCTCATAGGAACTTCCTAGAGCGTCGAAACTCTGAGGTTTACTCCAAGCAGATTCGCCAATCTTCAAGGCTGAGCGATTCTTGCGATCGTCTGTCGGGTAGGAGTAGAGGTAAGGTAGAGCTTTGCCGTGCCCAGAGCTTGCTGCAAAACCGCCGCTCGGGGTGGCTTTGGAGCCACCGAAAAATGCCTTACTCTGGATGCTCATGTCGAGACCTGTCTTGTTGAGGATGACATATGGACTGTAAATGGAGACCTTGAAAGCGCCTCCACTATCTGGAACATTGGTATAGTGGAGCTTGAGCCTTAGCTGCGATCCCTGAGCATCTTTCAGCTGGAGGTTCTTCTCGCGCCGGAAGTCTTCCTGTGTGTTGCTGTTGACGATAGCGAAGTCGCTTTGCTTAAAAGGCGTGTCTTCAAGATCGACGCTGAGAAGAAGCAGGTGTGAAAGCTCCACAACGTGGACTGGACTGACGCCACCCTTCCTAAGGAAGTTTGTCCAATCCTTTTTGGTGTTCTTGTCGTAAATCCTGTACTTGAAATCGTATGGAAGCAGGTTCTGAACTTCGATAGGAGCTGAGATCTGGATCCGCATGAACGGGTAGATTTGCGTCATGGGATCCTTCTTGTCGTAGGAAGCATGCATTTGGAAATAGAATGGTGGAGAATCATCGCGGCTCTCGCCCTGGCAGGTGATGGTCCTTGTGCTGCGCTTAAGGAGATCCTTCCAGAATAGTCTCTCATTGGACCAGCCATAGCCAAAACCTTGGTCAGGTCGAATGAGCAGAGAGTGCATGAAGGCCGCTCCAACGGGAGCAGGCCGTCCCTCGCCCGGAGGAACCTTCTCAATCTTCAACAATGTGCCTTCCTCGGGGCTAAAGACGCCGACCTCAATCGGAATCTGCGTCTTGTTCTCCACAAGCAATGGCGAGCGGAAGGTGATATATTTGACGTTGTCTGTTCCAAGTTTGACTTCAACCAGCATGCGATGCTGGATCTTGTCTTTCCGCGGCTTCAAGTTGTACAGAGTCTCTCCTTCACGAATGACAGGGATGCGCCCGATGCTGTCAAAACCGCTCCCTTCGAGCTTCACACCAACGAGGCCGGCGTTGCCTTCGGGTGACAGGTTCTCACGCATGGAAGTTGCATCCTCAAATCTCCAGGCGTATTCTTCACCATCGGTCAGCTTGGCCGCGGCGGCTGTCTCACTCTTCTCGTCGGCCCAGACGCTCAAGTCGAAGCCCGTGTAATTGCGTATCCGGTAAGGAGCATCGGCTGTTCGAGGCTTGGATAAGATGTCCTCGTCTGTATTGAGGAAAGTGAAAGACTTTGAGGCGAGGGCGATGGTGGCCGAAGTGACGGTTAGCTCCATGTTCTTGTGCGAGTAAAGCTCAACAGACATCATGTCTTGGTCTTGTTCCTTCGCCATGTGAAATCCCAACTGCCACGGCTCAATAAGAGGCTCCCAGGCTGACTTGGAGAAGTTGTAGACGTTGATGAAGGTATTGAAATTGGTGTCCGCACTCATTGCACCTGACCAGTCTTTGACATTGACGTCAAACTTCTTGACGCTGAAGTCCAGAAGCGGAAGCTCATGCATATCACCTATCAAGATGACTCTGATGCCGTCGATTTCCGCGACCAAATCCTCGCGCTTAACAACGACGGAGGATTGTGATCTTGCAGTCTGAGCGCGAGCAGTAACCGATTTCGTGCGCTTGGACTTCTTGGACACGCTGGCACCGGCCATAGATTTGCGTCTGGTAGAGGCAGCTTTCGAGGAACCTTTAACCTCCTTGATCTTCTTTGGCTCCGCATGCTCCATCTTGGGTTGCGGAGCGGTTGCGGTTGCCTTGGCTGCAATTTGCATCGCCAGGAGGATATCGCGGAGGGATAGTCGAAGGACAAGGGGTTCGATTTCCAAATGCATCGACGTCAGGGAAGATTGCCTGCCTTGAGAGCGATTTTCCATGGACATGTTGATCGAAAAGTCGTCCAAAATCCGGAGGCGACTTGTCTCGAACTTGTCCATACGGCACAAGAACATGCCAACTTTGTTGACCTGCAGGGTTGTGGCGTTTTGCTGTGATAGTAGCACCCCCTTGGTCCCAAGTACGATGGCTTCAGTATTTGAAATCGTAGGGTTGGCGATGAGGATTACCTGTGCATCAACAATGTTAATCCTGAATGAGGTCGTCATCGAGGAGGCGTTCTCAGCAGCGGGTTTCATGTCTTCCGATTCACTGCAATCCGACTGCTCCTCGTCATCGTCATAGACCGCTTCCGTCTCTGCAATTGATGCAGGATCATTGACAGCCAGGGCAGTGGTGGCGAAAGACTGTAGAGCGAAAAGATAGTCTAAAGCGAAGATGATCCTCGGGCTATCGATAGTAAGCATGACTATCATGTGCCGATCGGTACCACCAGAGATCGATACGCTTGCCATGAATTGCTGTTGAACGTCGTTGTTGATCAGAGACATGATCTTGCGGAACTTGTTTGTCTCTTGCTGGCGGCTGTCTCGAATAGTGAACGAGTGAATCAGCAGCTCTGCCTCTAGGGCATTATCACTTAGCATTCGCATCTTGACGTTGGTCTGGTTGAGTGAGAACTTCGAAAAGCTCGCAGCGTCCAAATCGCCCGTGGGCTCATCTTCTTTCGCCAGTATGAGTTCAAGGCCGACGAGGGGCGCTTCGAAGACGAGATTGAGCTTAGTCCACGTCTCGTCGGTAGCGCCCAGTTCTGGGGATTGATGGGAAGGCTTTGATTCTTCCATCTGCTGCTGTTCCTGACTCTGGAGCTGAGACTTCAAAGCAACATCGGAGGCGGATCTCGGAAGCTCTTCAGCGATCTCCTCATCGGTTTCGACCTCTGTCGCGAATGCCGCAGGAATAGTCTTGGACAGCTCCAGGAGGAACTTCATCTGCGTCTGGGAGATACGGAGATTCACGTCAGACATGTTGCCTTCGATTTCGAGGTCTGGACGTTCGAGGCCGCTTTGATGTTCAAGGTACCTAATCTTGAAGTCAAGGTCGACCTTCTCAATCATCTCAATCTCCTCAGATTGACCATCCTCGTAGTGAAACTCGGTTGTCAAGCGAATATGTCGAATGCCAGCGGATAGCTTGTTGACCAGCGGCCCATCTTTCTGGCCCTGCACGCCGACAAACTTGTTGGAAGCGTATATCTCTCCGAGATAGGCGGTAAGCAGATCTCTCGGGCGATTGTCAACCATTGCTCTCGGGAAGACCACGATTGGGGTCTTGATGACAACATCGAAGTGCATCTTCTGCGCGGACTCCTGGACCTGCGTAGCTTGATTTGCGGCCGCCTGGCGTGCAGCGTTGAAGATGCCTTGCATCTTGCCAAACTTGACGCCAAACTCCATAATCTTGCGAAACGGCTCCTCCAAGAAGTTGACCTTGATCGAACCAGAGCGCAGATACACACCAGAATCATATCCCGGATAACCCTTCCGGCTTGGGTCGTACGTCTGATATTTGAAGTCGGCAAGGTCATCACCTTCGATTGCAATCAAACGGCGTAGCGGAGAGTCCTCAGGAGCGCCTTGGTTGATATCGTCAACAAGGGAGAGGCTGCCCAAGCGAGCCTTAATTTGCATGGTTGGGGGGTCAAGATACACACCAACGTCGCCCGAATTCAAGGTCAACGTGGCAAGGCGCACGCCGTCATTGTTTAGAATCATTGCAATGCTAGACAATTGCGCCTTGATCCTGATCTTGTCACTTTGGTCGTTCTTCTTTGCAGGACTTAGCTCCACAGGCTGACTGTCCCTATCTTCAATCGCCTTCTGATCCTTCTGTGGTTCTCCAGGGCTCGCAAAGGTGACAAGTACAAAGTCCAACAGAGTAAGGAGAGTCTTCCGGGTCACGATGAGGTTGATCGTCGAAACAGCCACATCAAGATTCGTAGCAATTCCTTCATATGTTGATTGGAATTCTGGTGAATCGGGATTGACTTTCACAAACTTCACGTTGAAAAGGTCTTTTCCTTCCTCGGCTTGGAAGCCCTTGGACGAGATGATCTGCTTGAACTCCGGTAGAGGCTCTTGCTCGATATGGTCGTCAACTGTCATGGCGCCCAAGCGAACCTCTGCCACCATGTCGAAAGGTCTCTGGTAGAAGGATAGTGCAAAATGTTCAGCAACTAGTTCAACCAGTAGCTTGTCGTTCTTGGGGTTCTCTGCATCCGACTTGTACAACGATGCTTGCAGCTTCTCAACAGTGAAATTGAATTCGAAATTGCGCTGGTGGATATTGATTGGCTTTTCGGCCTCTTGTGGTTTCCCCGAAGACTTCTGTGCGCTGTTGTCTTCTGAGTCAGAATCAGCATCAATCAGTGCCTGTCCTTTTCGCTCTAGAAGTACCACAGATTTGCGTTTAGATCTGGGATCATCGCCTTGGGACTGGAGCTGCTTGTCTCCGGCGGCATTCTCGGCGGTGGTTGGCTTGTCCTTGTCGAATTTAGGTACAGCCACATCGAGCAGCTTCATGATGTTCTTGTATTTCTGGTCAGACATTGAAGCGTGCAGGATCGGAAGCGTTCCTGAGATGCGGGTCCTGGTTATGTCTGGCGCTTTTGGAAGAATCGAAAGCTCTAACAGGAAATCCATGTTGATGCGGTCGATCAGATGCATTTTCTGGTCGTCCTCCTTTGAATCAAGCTCGGCACGGGTGGCTTCAATGCCGGGGCCCAACAGAACCTGCGTGGAGTCCAGCCTGAGATGGAACTTGTCGTACATCAAGCCTTCTAGCTGTTGGTAATCTTGTTGCGTGTACTGCTTCTTGCGTTTCGAGTGAAGGTCTTGAAGCGTGTCTTTGTCAACGAGCTCACTATTCAGACTGACGTGGCCAGCGTCCAATATCATGCAGAGGGCGCTTTCTTTGGTAATGGACTCTGGAATGATGAAGATCGGAGCTTGGATGTCGAGATTCGCATTGATGGTCTTGTGCTCCTCGAGCGCAAACTCTAGACCCGCACGGGTTTGCTGACGAATCTCTTCGACAGTAGCACCGGCAGTCTCGAGAAGTGCACCGATTGATTCCATTTGCCTGGCAGGAGGCTTGAAGAACTTGGCGATCTCCACAACGAATTGGGGGTTATGGATGAATTCAAGACTCTTTAGTTTAAGCATGACCTCAGTGTCTGCGCTCTCATCAAGAGGGTTGTTCTCGAATATGAGATGGAAGAGCCCGTCATCGTCATCGTCATCTTGCTTTTCGCCCTTGTCAGTGGGAAGGTTCGTGTCGTCAGAAACTTCTGCATCATCTTTCGGCTGTTCTTCAACACCTTTGACTTTGACAATCTGTGGAAACAGTGTCCCTTCAGTGGTACCATCATAGACACGAAAGCCACCCAGATTGACATCAGCGAGAAACGAATCTGGTCGCTGCAGTGTCTTGGCGCGGAAGTTGTCGAACACCAGCTTTAGGACATCATTGGCTTTTCCATGAGGGTCACGCTTCAATGTGAAGCTGCCGGTTCGAAGACTTGATTCGATTTGCATCTTGACTGTCTCACGCGGTAGGTCGACGCTGTCGCTTATAGCTTTCTTCTCATCCCAATCTATGGCATCGTACAGCTTCTTTCGATCTTCCTCGGTCATCTCAGCTTGCGAATCATCAGTATTCTCGGGCTTCTGACCCCAAACCCACTGACCCCAAGTCTGTTTCGCCGCCGGCTTTTTGACTCCCACGTTCTCCTTTCGCATCTGATTCCGAGCGAGTGATCTCCAGAAGCGCAGATCTTCGTAAGAGAGCTTGTATTCAAGATCGGTGAGATCTTTCTTCTCAGCCTCAGTCAACTGCTCCTCCCTCTTTTTCTTCTTGAACACTTCGATGTAGCGAAGGCGCATGTCTCGACGCTCTTTGAAGTAGTCCCAAGTCCAGCGGCGGTTGCGATCATGGATCTTGTCGAGCACAGCAGTTCCGGCGAACTTGAGCCACGCTCTCGGATCTTCCTTTGGACTCTTCTCCGGCTGGTTCTTCTTGTACTCCTGGTGACGAATGAAGTAATGCATCAAGTCCACGAGCATCAGAGCATCCCGGTATTGTTCGTCGTCTAGTAGGAACCCGAATTCTTGGAACATCAAACGTGCCTTCATCCGTGGACGATCTGTATTGCCGGTCTTGTCCAGTTCTAGACCAGCACGGCCACTGACAGGCTTCAGGAGATATTGAGGATTGTCACTCTTCTCAATGCCCTCCTTGAAGCGCCGGATAAGTTCTTCCGTGCCAAGCTTCTCGGAGCCAGCATCAGCATCACCGCCCTTACCGGTGCCGAAGAGCTCAGCATCACTGTTCCAGTAAAGTGCCAACGAGTTTAGGACGGCGAGTTTGTGGGTAGTGCTTGAGGTTGATTGAATAAAGGTTGGGCGCCAATCAGCATCGGTGCTGACAGCACTCATCTCTTTGAGGGTGAAACCGATGGCAAAAGGATGATCGGGGGCGGCGATGGCATCCTCGTATCTGATGTGAACATTCTTGATGCTGACCTGTAAGTTGTCGACGATTGCGGTGGTGAAGCTCTGGACAAAGCTCTGGTTCTTTTGCTGTTCCTCCTTGCTCATGCCCTCGGCATTGCGGTCCTTGAGCAGTTCGGCGCTTTCGAGTTTCTCGAGCTTCACAGCTACCGTACGCTTTTCCTCCTCTTCGGCATCGTACTGATCTTCTTCTTTGGGGGCAGCGAGAAGGAAAACATCCTCGATATTGACTTTGACAGGCTTGCCACGTAGATTGGACCAAGGTATCGAGAGCGTAAGCTCGCCAAGCCGTCCGTCGACGACGTTGATGGGCAAGTGCAGCTGATCCAGCGCCTCGCGTCTCAACTCTAAATTACGCAGCTTGACATCGCCAGAGAATATTCCTACATTCAATTGCTTAGGGTCGAAGTTCTTGACGTACATGCCCAGAAAGCGATTTAGTAGGTTGGCGACGAGACCTTCCAACATCTTGACGAAGGGGCCTTTACCCTGGCTGGGGGCGATATGACTTGTTTAGCTGGGAGAACTGATGATTGGCATGAGGTCCGCCGTTGTTGCCGACCGCTGTCGACTATATGGGAGTAAAAGAGTAGGCCAGCACCAAATTCTTAGGCAGAAACACCGCCACACGTGGCGCGGGTGAGAATAAAGGTAGGCGGAAAGCTCCTGGAACTAACTCGGCAATCCGTTGTAAGAACGGTGAAGACTTCGAGCACGCTGAAGTAATCAAGCAAAGAAGGTAAATGATGGACGCAAATGCTCAAAACTCAGCTACCAAAGTTATGGTCAAATTGAAGTTGGTGGCAGCAAGTTGGAAACGTGCACTCGTCACGACGTCACTGCACCAAGCGTGCCAATGCTTCTCGCAACTGCCAAGAAGTCATCTCAATGCAGACTAGCGCGTTGTAGCTAGGAGCTAGCTGGACTTCAATTCACTGTCGGTGGTGTGAGAACACAACTGCACAGTCTCTCGACAACCCTCTCCGCTCCCTGTTCTTGACATTCCTTTTTGGCCTCGACAGCTGGACCTGGTTGGGCTGCGTCTCTTGTGACCTACCATTACCAGCAGTCTCGCCAAAATGTTCCGCACAACCGCTTCCCGCTCGATCCAGAGCCTCCGTGCTCAAGCTCCAAGAACAACCCTTTCCTCGACTGTGCTCCGCGCCACCCTGCGAACGTCTGCGCAGCCTCTGGCACGCCCCGGCGCCCTGTCTCTCACCCTGCGAAACCCTGCCCAGAAGTCGATGGTGCGCTATGAAACCACCTACCAGAAAAGCTCTTTTCCCAAATCCAGAGACAATAAAGCGGAAGAGGCCTACGGCAACGAGGTTATAAAGCCTATTCCAGACCTTGTTTCCGCGTCGTCCTCTATTCATCCTGTTACTGGAGAGGTTGGTGGCCCAAAGGAGGAAGAAGATGTCGATATGACTGCATCTATCAGAAGCGACTTTGTAAGAAGCGATTTCAGAGGAGGGCACGGAATCTGGCTAACGCAACGCAGAAAACGATTGTCGACACATTCAGCTTGAAGTCTGTGCCAAAGGAGGCGCTGGCTGTAGGTCTAGCTGGTGTTGTTCCATACCTTGCGACTTCGCTCTCCACAGTCTACCTCGCTTTCGACATTCAGTACGCCGCAGCGCACGGCCAAGGTCTTCTCCTCTCCGGCGAGGTTGCTGAGCAGCTTCTGCACATCATTGAGCCCATTCAGCTCGGTTACGGAGCCTCGGTAAGTGCTTCAGCACGTCCCTAAATTCTTCTAATTTTGTCCAGATCATCTCCTTCTTGGGTGCGATCCACTGGGGTCTTGAATGGGCTGGCTTTGGCGGATACCAAGGCTACCCCAGATACTCGATTGGTATCGTTGCTACTGCTGTGGCGTGGCCTACCCTTCTCCTCCCGGCAGAGGTGGGCTTGATTGCTCAATTCCTTGCCTTTACCTTCCTCTACTACGCTGATGCGCGTGCATCAACCCGGGGTTGGGCACCATCATGGTACTCTACTTACCGCTTCGTCCTGACCTTCATCGTGGGTGCCAGTATTGTCGCCTCCTTGGTCGGCCGTGGCCAGATTGCCGACCTGATCACCCGACCTCCCGGACCGGCTGACCGTATGCGTGCTATCCGGGAGCAGCAGCTTCAGCAGCTTGAGGAGAGTGACGCCGAGAGCAAGGCTCGCGCAGAATATGAGGAGTCTGGTGGCGATGAGGACGAGGAAGAGGACGATGAATAGATCAAACGAGGTCGGTTTCGCACAGAAGCAAATGTACTCTAGGATTCGAGTCCTGCCTCATTGCAAATCACAAAAACATTCCCTTGCGTACATCGATGGGGCTTGTAGATATCATTCGGAATGAGAGCTTCACTGCATCACACCTGTCCATGCCAGCTTGGTCTACCGACGCCCAGCCCTTTTTAATCTAACAGAATGGAGTTGCCTTTAGCGTGCAAACTTTTTGGCGTTGCCAAAACTCGGTGCAGCGAAACCCGAATTGCAGCTTGGCTAAGAGCTGGACCAACACCTTTTCCAAGCTTGGTCGGCGCATGCCTGTAGCTGAGAGGCTGTCTCGGTTTCAGCGCCGGGATGCGACGCTGTTGTGTGGGTTATTTCGCTTGGTCTCGTGCCAGCGTCAGCAAAGGCCAGGCGCACATGGGTTTGCAGCTCGTCCATGCATACCCCGAGCCGAGCTAACTCTGCCCCGCAGTTCGTCCCATGCGCGCTCCTGCTCGTCTCCCCGCTGAAGTCATACCCACCATCGCCCACTGCTCGCCATAATTCTCACTTCGCGTGACACGCCTCCTCCACTACAAGTGTAACAGTAATATATAGTACTGAGACCCTCTGCTTGTCTGTGTCTGTTCTGCCTTTCATTCCTCTCCGCAATCTACGCGTGCCGCCTCGCACCTGGCATCAGGCAGTGAAATTCTGACGCAGGCAACTAGTCCAGCAACACCTCTTCACTATGGTATCTTACCTCAACGAGCGACTTCCTTACTAGGCTAACAATTCATAGTCAGACAAGAAATTCGTCGGAGCTATCGACAACGGCACAACGTCGTCGCGTTTCCTAATCTTCGATTCGAATGGCGACCCTGTAGCTCAGCATCAGCTCGAGTTCAAGCAGATCTACCCTCACTCGGGGTATGCGGCCTCGCACATGTTCTTTGCTGCATCTTACTGACACGATTGCAGTTGGCATGAGCACGATCCTCTCGAGCTTGTCTCGTCTGTTGAAGAATGCATTAACGAGGCCTGCAAGAACTTTGAATCCCAAGGCTACTCCCTCTCCTCCATCGCTGCCGTTGGCATCACCAACCAGCGTGAGACCACAGTCGTCTGGGATCGCAATACGGGCGAGCCACTCTACAATGCCATCGTCTGGACCGACACACGCAGCGCCCACATAGTCCGTGACCTCAAGGCTCAGAAAGGCGCTGATGATCTGCCGCAAATCTGCGGTGAGCAACTCTCTACCTACCCATCCTGCGCCAAACTCCTCTGGCTCCTCAAGAACGTCGACAAAGTCAAGTCTACTTACGATGCCGGCAACCTCGCTTTCGGTACCGTTGACACCTGGCTGGCATACAAGCTTAACGGTGGGCCCTCAGCCAATGTCTTCGTTTCAGACCCTAGCAACGCTGGGCGAACCATGTTCATGAACATCCGCAATCTCCAATACGACGACACGCTGCTCGACTTTTTCGGCCTCGACGTCAAGACACCGAAGCTGCACCTCCCTAAGATTGTCCCCTCTTCAGACCCCGAGGCTTTCGGTAAGCTAGCTGGCACCTCCCTCAAAGGCGTCCGCATCACGGGCTGCCTGGGCGACCAGTCCGCTGCCCTCGTGGGCCAGGGCGGGTTCACTCCCGGTCGGGCTAAGAACACATATGGAACAGGTGCCTTTTTGTTGTTCAATGTGGGCGAGAAACCCGTCATCAGCACCCACGGCCTCATGTCCACCGTGGCTTTCGATTTTTCCCCACAGGGCATCCCACCTACGTACGCGCTCGAGGGCTCGATCGCCGTGGCCGGCTCTTCAGTCAAATTCCTCATGAACAACCTGGGTTTCTTCCGGGATTCACACCGCATCAGTGAGCTTGCCGAGACGGTGCCCGACAACGGCGGATTGGTCTTCGTGACGGCGTTCAGTGGCCTGTTTGCACCATATTGGATCGATGATGCAAAGGGCACCATGTGGGGTATCACGGCGTACACGCAGCGAGGGCACATTGCGCGGGCGACGTTGGAGGCGACGTGTTTCCAGACCAAGGCTATTTTGGACGCCATGGGCAAGGATGCGGGCGTCAAGCTGACCGAGTTGGCCGTCGATGGTGGCATGAGCAACAGCGATCTGTGCATGCAGACACAGGCCAACATCATTCAGATTCCGGTGGATCGGCCCAAGATGAGGGAGACAACAGCGTTGGGTGCAGCGATTGCGGCCGGATTTGCGGTTGGCGTATGGAAGAGCTTCGACGAGTTAAAGAACATCAACCAGGAAGGGCGGGTCTACTTCAAGCCCGAGATGGATGTGAAGAAGAGCGACAAGATGTACAGAAAGTGGGGCAAAGCCGTCCAGATGGCCAAAGGCTGGGTGGATGAGGATGATGAAGAGGATTGACTCGCCGGAACGCGTGAATCGAAGCTGTAATCGAAGGTGTAACGGGAAAGGTACAATAGGCAGACAGTGGAATGCCACTTTGGCTAAATTCAACGGCACTGATCATTTCTGCTGCAGTTTGTCGTGGGCGAGCAGTCGCTGCTCCCAATCCTGACGGAGCTGCTCCATTTTTGCCCACACCTTGGCTCCTTCATCTATAAAGGCCTCGACATCCTCCAGGGTAGCGTCTTTCGCGTCTTGTGGCCTTCCTATGTGCCCACCTCGCCACCAAGATGGACCACCCCACCATGTGTCTGCAAAAGCCTTGCCCGAGCCATTAAAACCCCAGCCTTCCACATCTGTAGACTCGACTCTAGATCGTGCCAATCGATCTATAGCACTACCCCACTTGATGGCCTTACCACCTCCCGTTTTCTCCTTTAGCTCGAGCTCGCTCCTGGATACCAAAGCGAGCCACACGGCCGAGATTGCGGCAGGGTAAGGATTAACAGTCGCCCATGGAGAGCCGAGCCAGCGTGCAATGAAAATTGCGAGTAAGTACGCCTGGTGAACGATCCAGTAAAGATCAATGATCGTCGTCGTAAGGATACCAGGTTGAGTTGTATGTATGGTCGGGCGGGATATTTGAGGGCGTTTCGGTGCACCTTCAACGGCCTCACAGTGGAGGTAGGATGATAAAGATGTCCTCGTCTTTGACTGGCCTTGCGTCAGGGCGAGATAGTCTGTTAAGCGTTTGCTATGCTCGTAGGCTGCATTTGAGCGCAGGCCTTGATGATCGGCCGGGTTATAGTGGCGAGCTGAGGCCTCGATGGAGCTGACCCAGACAATCTTCGCTGGAGAGGATGAGGGACACGTCCAAAGCAGCGGCATCAGCCAATGAGCGAGCATGTAGTGACCGAAGACGTTAGCGCAGAACACCTCTCCCAACGGTGGTTCGTCCAACTTTTCACCGTCGACAGGTGGCAGCTGAGGCTTTGCAACGACACCAACAGCTCCAAGCTTGAATGTAGGCCATGTTGTAGCTCTTCTTAGATCCACTAGAACAGTTCCAATAGCAAGAGGCCAATCGAGTCCCGTCCACCCACCAATGCCCGCATTGAGAATGACAGCGTCGAGTTGGGGGACGTCGGACGCGATGAGTCGTTGTGCAAGGCCTCGCACCGAGAGCAGGCTTGTTAATTCAACAATCTCAGAACGAAGGTGAATGCGATTCGACGAGCTCAATGCTATGGAATCGACGTGGGAGCGCAGAATTTTGAGGGTGTCTGACCCTTTGCGTGTACTTCGGGTAGTAAAGAGGAGTGTCAGAGTGTCCGACGCCTGTTTCGTCCTCAAGAAATCGTCAATCAGTCGAGTGCAGATACCCAACCCAAGACCACTGTCGCCAATTATGTCAGTAGAGACAAACGATCGAGCCTCCAGTTGCAGAAAGACTTACCTGTTGGCACCAGTGACCAGAATGTGGTAGGTGTAAGGTTCCATCACGTTGTCGAGCCCCAAGGACCCCTCAAATATGTTCTCACATCGTGGGAAAGAATTGTGATTCCGTCGCCGCAAAATAAACGCTTGCGGCGGTGGCTTCACTCGGAAAGCACTTCGCGAGCAGTCGCGCTGCACAACTTTAATTCCGATGGCCGATGCTTGGCAGGCCCCGCGCTTAAGCGAGCGCCGAAGCACTTGGACTGGTAACACCTTGGGACTGTGCTCGCGTTCCATCCCTCCTTCAGACCACATTATTGACTCTGTGCTTCATTCTTCTGCTGATTACTGCGGCTGTCGCCTACGAGGCCGAGCAGGACAGGCTGACGATGGCGACAGATGACCACACAGACCTTTGTCTGCCCTTGCGCTCTAGGCTTTGTTTGTGCTTCCGCATCTGGAGTACAGGTGGCTCTGCAAGGTCAACATTCGTGATGCATGCATGCTCGAGAGTGCCAGGCTCTTCCGCATTCAACCTTCTCACTTTCGTATTCTTGCTACTGTCTCTGCTGTATTCTCCCCTGTGTGATTCTTAATGGCACCATAAATGAACTTAGACTGCTCCAGTCTCGCTCACCATGTCTGTAGATCTCAGTGGGATCACCATACAACAAGTGCCGCAGTGTGCGGTGAGTGGCAAACGATGGGATACGGGACCGTGACTGACGACCACAGCAAAACTGTCTCGCCAACTCGACCCAGGCACAAACTTCATGTCAAGTCATTGATATTGCATGCCTCTGCTCCAATTCGGCCTATGTGAGCACGCTTTCTTGCTGTCTCGCCACCACATGCAATCCTCAAGAGCAATCTCGTGGGTCAGACTGCAACAAAATCTGGACGTAAGAGCTAATGGACGAACAGTTGCTATCCAGTTCAACCAGGATGAATGCTCCAAAGTCAACAAGACAGCTCCTGCCTTCGTCGGATGCTCACCATTAAACCTCACATCTGTGGGTGGTAGTCAGGCCAGCACGCAGACAACACTATCGACCCAGACATCATCCGGAACTTCGCTTGTATCTACCGTCACTGGCAGCATTGTTACAGAGCCTCCATCATTTAGTGGAGCCACCGTCACAGCATCGTTTGGAGGAGCTCCATTGCTGACCGGGACATGCTCAAACCCATACTTTGCTCTGGTAACTAATGCTGCCGGAACGACGATTCAGTACCCAGCTGTTGGATGTGGGCCTCACCAACAAAGCTGCTGTCCATACTCATTCGGCTCAAATGCACGGATATCACGTTGTCCACAGGACTACTTTACCACGTCCGGAGGCTGTTGTCCTATGTGCGTACGCGAATCAGCCATGATAACTGTGATCACTAACCGTCTATAGAGGCTATCAGGTGTATTACACTGGCATCGGGGCACAAACGCCTTGCTACTCCATCCCTTCAACTCCTCTCGTCCCTGCAACCACCCGTACCGATACAGCAAGATTCAGCTTAGTCTCACAGACGATCTTCGCACAAAAATTTGAGCTGGCCGGCCAGGCGGGCGGGGATGGACTGTCGACAGGTGCTCTGATCGGCGTCATCGCTGGGCCTGTCGTTTTTTCTCTACTTGTTATCAATTTCGTCATCTTCTTCATGCTACGGCGGCGCAAAGTCCGGAGAATCAGAGAGGCAGAAAGAGCGACGACCTATCCTCCATTCGAGCCCATCATGCCACAAAATGAAGTTCCACAGACGCCGCACGAGCTGGCAAGCCCTGACGTTGCCAGGTCGCCTCGATCACCCCAAATGGGACAGATCGGCTGGGTAACAAGCCCAGGGTCTTCACCTCCAGCGTACGATTCGCAGCGAAATCTCAATTTGATAGGTCCGGCGAAGCTACAGATTCCTCAGGATCCCCAAGAATTGGAGGGAAGCACGTTTATTCACCAACATCATCCTGCATTCACCGGCGAGCCCACAAGCGCATCCGCAACAGACATCTCACCCAAATTCGAGAGACCCAAGACTCCCAAAACACCTATCAGGTCTCCACAGGGAAGTGACAGGAACTCGCCTTTGATAACTCCCTCATCCGGCAAAGGACCTCTGCCTCGAAGTCCTCCAGCGGTCTCGCCGCCTAATTCTCCAAGACAAGTGGCTGGACGCTTAGAATGAGTCTGGAAGACTCAAGTGGCAGTCCTGCTCGACTATTATAATAGCATGGCGTAGTGAATTGATGTTATTATTGCCTTTCCACACCGAGTTCTAGGTCACTACACAACAATGACGAGCGACAATGAGGGTTAGGGCTAGATTCCAGCGAATTCCGGCCGACTCTGCGGGTGGGACCCGCACCTCGCCATCGCCATCGCCTCATCACTTCTAGCCTGGTCGTCCGACATCTCACCCACCCTCCTTCTGTGCGCTTCGGCCATTCTCGATACAACACTTTCTTTACTATCGGCGGGGGCCGTGTCTTTCGTAGTTTGCATTGATGTCTTGTTGAAGTTGTGATACATACCTGAGCAGCGCTTCTCTCTTCCGCGGCCTTTGCCGCTCAACCTGACAATGGCTCTCCAGGCTCCTCTATCCCAGATAACGGTACTACACCCTCCTTCACTCTTTTTGGCCCATTTGCTGATGTTGTGGCTTTCCAGAGCCTGCCTGCGCTCGGCCCAGATGCTATCTCCGGCGTCCTTGCGTCCCCGCTCAAAGCGCTGCGCCAATCTCGCCTGTCAAGATCTCGAGGAGATGCAATCGTTCCTCACTCCAGGAGTATCACTTATTCGATCGGTTCTAAGGTTAGCAATATACATCCCATTAGTTTGGGGACGAGCTCTGACTATTGCCTACAGTCCGCAAGCATGCCCGATTTTCTCCGAAGCGTCCCAGTGAGCTCTCTTCGCTCTACTGCCCTCCACGGACCGTCGACCATGCCTGCGTTTCCTGGTCTTCGGCACTTCTCGCAACATACTCTGACCCGTACGCCGACGATCAAGACTCCAGTCAGAGCTGCTCCGGCATATGCGCCTCGTCCTTCTGCACGCCTAGCTCACTCCCGCATCGTCTCTGCCTTCGGTTTTGGTGGTCCCCCGAAGAACAACAGTCATGTTGCGGTACAGAGACGTATGTTCTCAAGCACGTTCCAGCCCGCCAATCAGAATCAATTGGCCCACGCGGAACGGACTGCGAACAACAACCCAACGAGCGCCACCGCGCAGCAAGCTTTCTATTCTGCACTTCTCCGAGCCAATATGCCTAAGATCGTAATTGAGCGATACCAGACCGGACGATATGCTACCAATCCCGCCACCGATGCATCGTACCTCAAAGCACTTCAGACAACCGGCACGGTGCCGCCGCCAGGTGCTCCTGGTATGCCACAGAATGGAAGTAGTCTGAGCCAAGAGACTCTCGAGGCGGTAGGCCATGCTGTTGCTGGACGCAATTTCCCTGGATCGACAATCAAGCCAGGATCGAAAGCTGGTACGGGCGCAAAAGAAGCACCGCTCTACGTTGTCATCGATGAGCCTTGGGGTACTTCTGTCTTCCGTTGGGTCAAGTTTATCGTCATTGCGGCCATCGTGGTCTACTTTGGCATCGTCATCCTCACCATGTTGGTCGAATTCGCGGGTAGCTTCCGGACTAGGGTCGGCCAGAACAACGAAGTCCAGGCTCAACAGCAAACTGTTCGCTTCAACGATGTTCATGGCTGTGATGAAGCCAAGGAGGAGCTGCAAGAGTTGGTCGAGTTCTTGACGAGCCCAGACAAGTTTAACCAGCTCGGTGGCAAGCTTCCTAAGGGTGTCCTGCTTGTTGGTCCTCCAGGTACTGGAAAGACGATGCTCGCGCGTGCTGTGGCCGGCGAAGCGGGCTGCCCTGTCTTCTACATGTCAGGCTCAGAGTTCGACGAGTTGTACGTTGGTGTTGGAGCGAAGCGAGTCAGGGATCTGTTCCAGCAGGCCCGGACCAAAGCTCCTGCAATCATCTTTATCGACGAATTGGACGCTGTCGGTGGCAAGCGTAATGCGCGAGATCCGGCGTACGCCAAGCAGACACTTAATCAGCTTCTCACCGAACTTGATGGTTTCAGTCCAAGCACTGGTGTTATCCTCATCGCGGCCACCAACTATCCAGAGGCTTTGGATCCGGCTCTAACGCGACCAGGACGTTTTGACCGACATGTGAACGTTCCTCTCCCGGATGTCCGAGGCCGAATTCAGATTCTCAAACACCACATGAAGAATGTACCCATCACAGGTGACGTTGACGCCACGAATCTGGCGCGTGCCACCAGTGGCATGTCCGGTGCGGACCTGGAAAATCTCGTTAACCAAGCCGCTGTACGTGCATCTCGCTTGAGGTACAAGAAGGTCACCAGTGACTGCTTCGAATGGGCCAAGGACAAGATCATGATGGGTGCTGAGGCAAGGTCTCGAGTCATGAGAGACAAAGACAAGATCATGACAGCCTACCACGAAGCCGGTCATGCATTGGTCAACCTTTTCACTCCCGGGAGCAATCAACTATACAAAATGACGATCATTCCCCGTGGACGAGCCCTTGGTGTGACGCATTCTCTCCCTGAGATGGATGCCGTCAGCCAGGGATACGATCAGTACCTTGCCCACATTGCTGTTGCAATGGGTGGACGAGCTGCAGAGGAAAAGATCTATGGTCCTGACAAGGTATCTAGCGGCATTTCTTCTGACGTGTCTTCGGCCACCAAGGTGGCCTTCGCACTGGTCACACAATTCGGCTACTCACCCAAACTTGGCAACGTCGACCTGGCTAGCGAGTACAATAGTCTATCCAGCGAGACCAAGCAAGAGATTGAACGAGAAGTACGACGGATCGTCGAGGAAGGAAGACAACGGGCCGACAGAATCATCTCGGAGAAGCACAAGGAGCTTGAGGCGCTGAAAGATGCTCTGATAGAATTCGAGACGCTGGACCGAGATGAGATTATGAAGATCATGAAGGGAGAAAAGTTGCAACGGATACAGCCCGAATTGCGGGAAGAAACAAACAACGACAATGGCGGGCGGCCTAACAAGCCTCAGGAAGAGGAGAAGAAAAAGAAGACCAGTCCTTCGAAAGGAGGCGTGGGCATCAAACTCCCAGAAGTGCTCACATTACCGCCCGGTGCCAAAGGGCCCGAGAATGCTCGGTCGGACAGGGGCGACTGATATTAGCTCGGACTTCTTTTGTTGTGGATTGAGTCAGCGTCTATGCCTTTGGTTGAGGGATAACTCTTATGTATGAGAATAGCGAAATACTCTTCTGTCACCACTTGGCTATCCGGTGTTTGCTCTTGGCCACCGAGTCCGCGTAATGCGCGGCGCATGAAGCCCCTCTAAGCCACGGGGAGCCTTGCAAGGCTGAGGAACTTCGTCACTGCCAGGAAACAGGTTGCGTCTTCTCACTACTCGGCCAACTATTTGCAGGTACAAGCCACTGCCCAGAGCACCCTCCAACTTCACTTAAGGCGAGCTATTCTCAATGGCCTTGCCCTCCTGTCATTGTCGCTAGCGAAACCTTTTGCTATCTTTCGTTTTCCCTTCGCACGACTACACCGACTTCGATTCCGCCGACCATGACCTCGAACAGTACCTCACGACTGCGCAGCTGGCTGCTGGCGTCTCCTCCCGCCGAATGGATGCTCAACCAGCTACGTGAGCTGCTTATCGGTGCACTGCGACAAGGTGCAATTCCCAAACATGTGGCCTTTGTCATGGACGGCAACCGCCGCTTCGCAAAGAACCACCGAATGGAAACAGTAGAAGGACACAACCTGGGTTTCGAAGCCCTCGCGAGAATACTTGAGGTGTGCTATAAGGCTGGAGTGACCCATGTCACCATCTATGCTTTCAGCATTGAGAATTTCAAGCGGTCCAAGTACGAAGTGGATGGCCTGATGGACATGGCCAAGGTAAAGCTCAAGCAGCTTGTGCAACATGGTGATCTGCTCGATCGCTACGGAGCAAAAATTCGAATTCTCGGTCAAAGAGAGCTCATCAAGCCAGATGTCTTGGAGGCTGTTGACAGAGCGGTCAGCATGACGAGCCGTAACGGCGACTGCGTACTCAACGTCTGCTTCCCATATACCAGCCGAGAAGAAATTACCAATGCGGTACGGACAACAGTGGATGACTGGTGTACGCCTGTGGCGAGCCGGACTGGCGATGCGGAGAGGAAGAGCCCATTTAAGGAAGAGCGGATAGCCAATACGATAAGGTCGCATGCTTTGGAGAGTCACAGTGCACAGGCCGATGCAGATGAAAAGAAGCCTCATACGTCCGCTCCGGCGCCGATAGACGCTCACACTCCTGGCTCACCCACGTCCAGCACGACGTCCCTCTCCTCTCACGACACCTCTGCGCATACCGAAGACCAAGACACCGCTTCTTCGGTCATGTCCTCGACCACGCTGCACTCCCCTTCTAATCAACAAAAGACGGTCGATCCCGCCGCTCTGCCATCACCTGAGCTCATCACGCCAGAGACTCTGACCAACCACATGTACACTGCTGGCGACCCGCCTATTGACCTTTTGGTCCGGACTTCAGGAGTGTCCCGCTTGTCGGACTTTATGCTCTGGCAGTGCCATGAGAACACTCAAATCGTCTTCCTCGAGGTTCTTTGGCCCGACTTTGATCTGTGGAGCTTCTTGCCTGTACTATGGGGCTGGCAATGGCGAATCCGAAAGCAGAAAGAGGCTGAAATGGAGGAAGCGCAGCGCACTCTACAGCAGGAAAAGATCACGGCGAGGGGGGTGAAATTCGCGTAGGCGATCATCTCACCAGCAGTTGTCTATACGTGCCTCGACTCGATAAAGATCTGTCGTTTGAAGGATACCCCATGGCGTGTCGTGCTTTACAGCTAGTAGGCGGGCGTTTCATTGACAGATCGGTGGGGTCGGTCTTCGTAGACGGTAGAAAATGTACAAATATCCGCGCAGATGTTTCGAGGTGCCAGCGCCATTAGCCACGGACCGAGGCATCCAGCTGGTCATGTTACGAGCCGAGCATTTGCGTGGAAGTCAAAAGAAAGATGGCGTTTTCTCAGGCCCGATACCGCCAGCCCGGCCGCGCCCGGAAACTGACAAACACGTCGGAACAGGGTGGGCACAACTTCATAAGCAGCACGACCATCATTTCCGCTGTGTCAAGTCAGCGTTGTGTAATACTCTGGAGAAAGCCACAGCACAAACTGCATCTCAAGCCTTGATTTACCAGGATAAGCATCCTCACAGCCAGTGAATTGTCATAGAAAGGTGAAGTGAGGAGGTTCAGACTGAAAATCCGACGCCGCTGCGCCTGAGTTTTCCCGAACGAGAGATATTTTGAGCACTGTAACAGCTCTTCTTCTCGGCACCAGCGTCAGGGACGACATTTCTACTATCATCGCAAGGGCATAGATACTGAGATTCTCGTACAATCGACCATCCAACCTTGTCACACTACTTCCGCCGTCATGCAACCTCCATCACCAGCCCCGCCCGCTTTCGACTCGATAGAGTCAACCATCAAGGCATTCAAGAACGGCGAATTCATTGTCGTTCTGGATGACGAGGACCGCGAAAATGAAGGCGACCTCATCATCGCTGCCGAAGACGTCACGACCGAGAAGATGGCCTTCATGATCCGACACACTTCCGGCCTCATCTGCACCCCCATACCCGGTGACCTGGCGGCCCAATTAGAGCTCCCACAGATGGTCGTTTCCAATGAGGATCCAAAGCGCACCGCCTACACCATCTCAATCGATGCCTCGGACGATTCTGTGACCACCGGCATCTCAGCACACGACAGGGCCCTTACCTGTCGAACGCTCGCACATTCCAAAGTCAAGCCTGAGAGCTTCCGAAGACCGGGACATGTCTTCCCGCTGCGAGCGCGAGACGGCGGAGTTCTGACCCGAACGGGACATACTGAGGCTGCCGTCGACTTCTGCCGCCTAGCGGGGAAGGCTCCTGCGGGTGTCATCTGCGAAATGGTGGACGATGGTCAGGAGATCCCTGGTCGAGCGGAGCGCACAGAGCCCGGCATGATGCGGAGGGATGCCTGTTTGGAATTTGGTAAGAGATGGGGACTGAAGGTGTGCACGATTGAGGATCTGGTCCAGTACAGGAAGAGCAACGAGCAACTCGTCAATGGGGTGAACGGGCACTAAAGCGGGTCAGCGACGTTGTCATCGCCTACGGATCGATCTCATCCGCCGAGAGTCCTCACTGGCTCTATGATGGCCTAGGATGGAGGACAATCAGGCGGATGGTTCATTTTCGATTTCATGCCATCTGACATCAGCAGCACTATACTGGTTTTCAGCTAGGCATCTGGGTGACAGATCAAGCTTTACCCTGCGCGACAAGCGCAACCGAACCGTCTGGCCATGTAATCAATCAATTCTACTCAGATCAGCCTACCTTCAGCACACGGACCAGACACTGTGCGACCATACCCCAAACCAACGGCAGACAGGTATGGAGAGCCGCCCCTGTGTACCAGGTACGAGAATAGCAACCTGCCATGGTGGAACAGTACCTCTCAGCCCTCAGCATCAGCAGGTCAAAATCGTGGTGTCAGTTCCGCAGCCTTGCGATATACTTCTCCTAGCACTCTCTCCAACCATCATTCGTCAAATCCCACCCAGTTCTGCAAATAGCCACGTCGCTGCCACCAAGTCTGCATCCTTAAACCACCATCTCACGCCACGGGACAAGCTTGACTCCTGTCCACTCGCTACCCACGCTCTGCAGTGGCGATGGCGCCCTCACTCGTTCCGCGTCAAGACGCAACATCAACAACCACCGCTCCTTCCTCCCACACCTCCGCTTCAGACAGTGGGTCCACGTCGTCCAAGATCCTCTACATCGCCATCGGCGTCTCCCTCGCAGGTGTGGCGCTGCTCGTCCTTCTGTGCACGCTCTGCATCTGCTTCCGTCGACGACACCGTCGAAAGAACACCGCGCTTTCCAAGCCTCCGATCCGCCCGGAGACGCACAGCTTGCAGACGCAGTCACAGACGCACCAGTCCAAGCCGGCCGTCCCCGCGCCGGCAAAGCCGAGTCACTACGGCGGCGCGAACGGGTATGCTGCCAGCACGGAGCAGAGTCAGGGCCTGTTGGCGAACGCGGCGCCCGCGGGTTTGGCAGAGGTGTCGGAGCCGAACGCGTACACGGGCGAGGGATATGGAGGCGGGCATGGGCAGGGACAAGGGCACGGCTTCCAGCAGCAACAGCAGCATCCGCAGAGGCCACAGCAAGTCAGCTATGGTCCTCCGCAACGGCCTGCCAGCACGGCCAGCGCGCCGTTGGGGGTGTCAGTGACGCCGCCGGTTTCGCAGCTGCAGAGGCCGCTCAAGGTGGGCGAGGCGGCGACCTACTTTGATACGAGCGTGCATATTGGGACGCAAAGAGGGCGGGCAGGGGACAGAGGGGTGAGTGCTGAGCGGAGGGAGAGGAGTTTGAGTTGAGGACTCGAGGGATACAGGGCATTTGAGCACCTTGATGGCGGATCGATGAGCCTCGTGAGGTGATCGACGAGCGTTGTTTTCTGTACTGTACGAGCAGGTAAAAGCGCGATGGAGCTGATTAGACCTCAAAAGACGTTGCTGTCATCGTCGTCTCTTCTGCTTGAGAGGAGGACTCAACACTATCCCGACCGTACTGCTCATGAGACGTTCTCCTAGTTCAGTAGCTACGTACCTAATGTGTCCATCAAGCAATCTGGTACTAGTCGAGGACAAGCACCCGTCTTCGTACGCCAACAGCTACATAGAACTAGTTTGCACAAGCTATTAGACCTTTTCACTCACGATCTACACCTACATGTACTTGCAACGCACTATCATCACACAGTAATCAGCACACGCAGCAAACCCCACCAAAATTCCGCCTACGTCTTTTCTCTCCCCTTCATGCGGTAATTCCAATCTCGCCCAACCGCCCCCTGTCAGCCTCGTGGCTCCGCACCCCGACTCGCCTGCGTTGAAAGTCAGCACTGGCCGTGGCTACCGGCTCTGCATTTCTGTGTTCTAACTCGGAAGTACATATTGTTGATCTCACGCCGGCTTCTTACGCATTTTCACAAGGCCAGATCAGTGCTCGAGCTTTTGTTCGTGCTGTGTACATAAAGCATCGAGCCGCACGCGAAACCCTGCGACAGTAGCCTGGCCACTCCCGGTCTCAAGTCTCGAGTCCGAAGTGTAATACCGCGCGTTTAAGCGAGCCGGGGCTGCGGAGAAATACGTACAGAATTCACACGCTATCTTCGTTCAGGGCATGAAGCGAGGTGGTGAAGGGGGCACTTGTTTCTCGGATCTGGAAATTTTTGCCTGGAATTAAATGATAAATCCTCAGTCTTGTAGAGTAGGGCTGGTGCCATGTAAACCCTACCCTACCTTGGTGGATGCGTAACGGGTTCGGTCGTGGTGAGTACGGATACGTCCTTCAATGTGTACACCACCGAAGTCCTACTGAGATCCGAGTATCATCCCTTCGCGCTTTGGGCTGTTGCAATTCGAATGACCCCTGATGCCCAAGCAACCACACAGCAACTTCGGTACCTTCGGTGGACTGGTACGTGCATGTCAATTCCATTTCCACCTCTTTTCCATGCTAGCGGTCGCCCGCAGAAATTCAAGCTTTCCCACGCATCCACGCCTTAGCGCGCTTCCGCGCGCTCCTGAAGCCATGGCAGTCCTCACTATCGAAATTAACAAGGCTGTCACAGACTTCCGTAGTTTGTCCCTTCGCTTGGGTGCTTGACCTGCGTAAGATGATAAGGATTTACCGGATAGCGTCGCTGCTACCGTAACGGTTCTCTCGTGGCCCGCTAAAGTCTAACGGCAAATGGTAGCGAACTGTAGTTTACGGAACACTCGATGAATTCCTTTCCCCCTGGTCCGAACGGGTCATGGGACCCCGGGAGTTGGCGGCTGGCCATGTAGAAGTACAAGGCGATGCCCACCCTGGCTGGCATTGCCCTGGTTCAATTCGTTTCCCCCAAGTTTCTGGGATTTAATTCTTGATTGAGCCAGGGTCATCTTCTGCTCGCTTGGTGATCCGGGGTGTGGTAATGAACTGAACCGACCATCGTCATTCTTTATTGCAGAAGAGGGCTGCTAAATCATCCTCGTCCATTCTTTGACAACACGAATAAACACCCCGACAAGGGACAGTAAAGGGAAAGGGACCTGTGGAAGACATTGGAGACTTATAATACAATTCGGGAAATTCGGCTCGATCAACAATTGGATTTGTTCGAGGATTTCAAGACATCCACAATCCGCAAGAAGCGTGGGAAAACACCCGCAGCAGCACTTTCGTGTCAATATCCCATGGCATAACACTGCATGGCTCCTCTCATACCCACGCAGCGATCGACAGTGCATGCCCTGGTAAAGCGCGAGTTGCCGCACACGAAATTCATCGCCATAGCAGTCAGCGTCGGGGTGTTTTTGGTCATTGTGATATCGATAGCCTTGTGGCTTTATATTCGAGGCTGGAAACTACCCCAATTGTTTCGCTTTGATCAGAAGAGACTAGACTCTCACAACCAGTCGGCGCCGCCAACAAGGCACGGAACAAACAAATCTGGCAGGGCGTCGACATACTGGAGTGCAGACGATATCGGGAAAATGCCCGAACCACAGGCCACGGAAGTCTCGTGGCTGGATAGCCGAGATTCTCGGATCGTGATGCTACCGACACCAAGCCCTTTCAGTTTCGAACGGCACTCCAGGGTTGTCAAGTTACCACTGCCGAGTCTGCTTAGCTGGAGAAGTAGTATCGACGAGAAAGCTAAGCCGCAACGGCCCAGCTCAAACCACGTGCGAACCGGGTCGCGACATATCTCGACGCAAATCGTCGATACAACCAAGCCAGCCCCGAACCCGACACCAGATCACACGCCAATACTCGACGACTTTCCGCAGCCTGGAGGTGGCTTCGGGCGCTGGTCTTGAATGACAGACCTGAAGTTGCAGGGGTCGCGTCGGTGACGGCCGGCCAACTTGGAACGCGTCGATGACTTTGTAATACGATGGAAAGCCCAGTTAGAGAACCAGACTTTTGATGACTACAGTCTTATTTCTTGCTGTAACCCTTGGATATGGCGTCAAGGTGAAGCATATGTGTATTGGTGACCTTGTTCCCCCGACGGACTTTTTTGGCCTTCGGTTTGGTGACCGCGGCATTGAGCGGTTTCGGAGCTTCACCCGCGGCTTTAGACTGCATGGCAGCCAGTTCGACTCGAATCTTGTCGGGGTTGGGTAGACTGATTTTCTTCCACTCCTGGACGAATTCTGGCTCAAGCCTTACGTAGAGCGAGGGTTCATCAGCCCAGATGAACCTTGGTATCCTATCTTTCTTCTGGCGTGTGATCAAAATCTTGTGCTCCCGTTCGAGCTGGTTGAGCGTCTCGAGGCAATCGGGCCAGCCGTGTTTGAGCTTGTCGTAAGGAATACCCTGTCGCAGCTCTTGACGTTGCAGGAGCGCCAACAGCTCCTCAGCGTTGGCCACATCGTAAGGAGGTTTGTAGCGGTACGTGTTGGCCTTAGGATCGAATGAGACTTCTGGGTTCTTCCGCAAGGATAAGTTGAAATATCTGAGCAGTGCATCGTTGTCTTGCTTGTCGTTGGGTAGGAGATAATCGAGTAGATCCTGGTAAGAAATCGAGCTAGGATATCGATCCTTCAGACGAGCAATAGCTGCAAAGGCGAGAGCACTACTTTCGACTGCCTGCTGCCTCATGGCAGGCGTCAGAGCTGCTGCGTTTCCAGACATGATCGTGGTACGAGCGGACAATCGGCCTAGGCTTGAGATGGCCGAAGAGATAAGAACGCTATCAAGGCTTGTGCTTGAGAGGTCGTTGACAGTGTTGCTTCATCTCTGAGAAGATGTGCAATGTTTGACAATGCGTGACACTGCGGTTAGTCGAATCTTAGTTGCAAAAGAAGTTGGGGTAGGCGCCATTGCCGCCTGCAAGGTGCACTTTAGGTGGGCACGGTAGACGATCTAAGCGCCAAACGCGCGCCAAGGCCTTTGGCTCCAGCCTCTTCGTGGCGGCTGTTTGTGCATCATTCGCTGCTTTCGGCATTCTGCCTTTCAGTTGCCTATCCTTCCCACCCACCGCGGCCACGACCCTTTGCGCTTGCCACGAGGTCGTTTACTATCCTTTGCTGGCTTGGCCGACATCCACATTATGGTCAACAGAACGGATAACCATCGTCGGTCCTTTCCCTAAGTCGTTGCGCATCTGGCGCATTCGCCATCTTCCACGACTTACGACCTACCCCTCTAGTTGGGTCTAAACCCTCCTCCGCCATGGCGACAGACATTGACCTTCGGGTCATATCCAACTTCTCATCCGTTCCAGAAGTAGCGTTGACATCCCTCTTGTCTTCACCAACCATCGACGCTGTAAAGTCTTTGCTGGAGGCCGTGGAGAAGAACGCGAGAGAATGCGAGCAAAACAAATCGCACAAGGTTAAACTCGAGGTTGAGCTCGAGACTGTCGTCAGAACCAACGAGTCCAAAGTCAAGGTTCTGCAGGCTTCTCGTGATAAGGCCCTCGCCGATGCCCAGAAACTACGTGGTGATCTTCAAGCCTCCGGTAAGTCCCTCTTCGTGGTCTCGAGACGAGCTCTAACATGAACAGAAACCAACCGTTCCAAAGTCGAATCAGATTTGGATCAACTCCGAACGACTGCCTCCTCAGAAGCCTCCGAGACGACCACGTTGAAGGCTCGCATTGCGTCACTTGAGTCTTCGAACCGCGACACTATTACACTCCTCGAGTCAAAAACGACTGCATACGAAAAACTCTCGCAAGATCTATCGGCTCAGCATCAAAAAGCTGGCGAGCTACGCAAACAAGTCGCCTCGCTGGAGCAGGCAGCGCAGGCTTCCAACTCAGCCGCTGCAAGCGCCAACTTTCGCCAACAGAGTCTGCAGCAAGAAATCGATCTTCTCAAGAAGAACAACGAATGGCTCGAGAACGAACGCAAGGTCAAGGCCGATGAACATACCACGTTTCGCAAGGAGAAGAATGCCCGCCTCGCCGAGCTTTCGCGTGCCAACGAGCAGTACATTGCTGATGCCGAAGCCCTAAAACGATCAGAAGTGGCTCTTAAGCACCGCCTTGATGAGTACACCAACAAATACGAAGATGCAGTGCAGGAACTTCAGAAACTCCGCGAGGAGAAGGCTTCCGAAGCCGATTCTTTCAGAGTCGATATCGAGAGTGCTCAGCGCCTGGCCGAGCTCCAGCAGGCTAACGCCGACAGACAGAAGCAGCGGGCTCAGGAGCTTGCTGCCGACCTGGAAGAAGCTAGAGAAGAAGCCGCCAACCAACTTGGCGACATTCGTGCAGCTGCCGAGGCCGACCACGAAGAGAAAGAGGCTGCGATCCGCAAAATTGCTGAGCTCGAAGCCAACATCGCCCAACTCCAATCTGATATCGAGCAAGACCGCACTCGACCAAGCACTCCGCAACCGTCCGCTAACGGCAACGCTATCTCCACCCCCATGCGACCCTCGACACCACTGGGTATCTTTTCACCCATGAGTCGCGGAACCAAGTCAGCCACACAGACTCAAATGTACACCGAGTACAAGCGAATTGAGAAGGAGCTTGCCAAGGAGAAACACACCAACGCCATGCTTCACGCCCAATTGGAGGAGATGGCGACTGAGCTCGAACAATCCAAGCCGGAGATAGATGAATTGCGCTCTGATTATGTTAAACGTGAACAAGAATCGATTGAAATGTCCTCACTACTCGAAGTCGCCGAGAAAGAAAAGGATGAAGCTATGCGATCAGCAAGAGTTTATCACGGCCAGCTAGAGGCACGCATCAAGGAAGTTGAGGTCCTACAGCAGCAACTGCGTGACCACAGCTCCCAAATTCGAAGACTCGTCATGGAGATTGAAATCCGCAACGCCGGAGGTCAGATCTCGGACCAGGAGTGGGCGGAACTCCAGGCACATAACGAGGAAAGTGCACAAGCCGAAATGGAAGGGTTGTCAGAGACTCAACGTGTTGTCAACGAACGATTGATTGCCTTCAAGAACGTCTCAGAGCTACAACAACAGAACCAGGACCAGCTTGCCACTATCCGCAATCTCGTCAGTCAGCTTGAGAGTCAGGAGTCCAATGATAGACAGGAGAAGTTCAATTCCATGGAGCAGGAACTGGCGTCGGCTCGTGCTCAGATCGCCGGCTTCCAAGATGAGATCAAGACTATGGTTGCGCAATCCAAGAGCTTTGTCAAGGAGCGAGACATGTTCCGGAATATGCTCACCCGAAAAGGTCATGTCGCAGACATCACAGACTTCTCTCGCTCGCTCCCGGTACCTCCTGCAGGTTCTCCTGGGAACTCGAATTCTGCGCACGGTGGGGAGTCAGACCTTGTCAACGCGATTAAGCAACTCCAGCAGCAATACGACTCTCACCGACAAGAAACCGTTGTGGATCAGTCGGCTCTAAAGTCGCAAGTTGATGACCTGTCGAGACGCAATTCCGAGCTGCAAACGCAGGCCAGCCGCTTGCAAGGTCAGCTGAGCGCGGCCACTCAGCGAGCCGAGATGCTGCAATCAAACTACGACATGCTCAAGACAGAGAACTCCGAGCTTCAAAAGCGGTCGTACGCTGCAATGGAGAACGCCACGAAGCAGGAGATGAGAGTACAGCAGACTGCCGAAGATCTTGTCGAGACCAAAGGGCTAGTAGACAGTCTGCAGCGTGATTCTGCCAATCTCAAAGCCGAGAAGGAGCTATGGAAGACTGTCGAGAAGCGTTTGCTTGAAGACAATGAGTCTTTGCGCAACGAACGCGGTCGACTTGACTCGCTAAACAGCAGCCTCCAGGGGATCCTCAACGAACGAGAACAAGCTGATTCGGAAACTCGGAGACGCCTTCAGTCCCAGGCTGAGTCTCTCGAAAGTGAACTTCACTCCACGAAGCGTAAGCTGAACGATGAGCAGGAGGAGAACCGAAAATCTGCTCTACGTCGTCAGTACGAGCAGGAACAGAGCCAGAAGAGAATAGATGACCTCATGACCACACTCGGCTCCCTTCGAGAGGAGCTGGCTGCGGCCAAGACCTCTCGCGATCACCTGCAAGCTCGTGTTGACGAGATGACAGTTGAGTTACGAGGTGCTGAAGAACGACTCGAGGTCTACACAAAGCCTGCTTCTCAGCCATCCAATGAGAATGGAGAGGAAGATGTCATGTCGAAAGAGCAGGAACTCACTCTAGAGGTCTCGGAACTCAAGCGCGAGCTCGACCTGACGAAGTCTGAACTCGATCGTGTTAATGAGCAGATTGATGTATACAAGAACATCAGTCAGACCGCAGAAGAGCGTCTTCAGGAGCTTGGCGAGACTAACGACCAATACCGCGAAGAAACGGAGGCCACTCTTTCCGAGAAGGATACTAGAATCAAAGATCTGGAGCAGCGGATCGAGGATACTTCTACTGAGCTCGAGAAGACCAACACCGAACTTTCGAAACTTCGTGACGAACAGCAAGATGTAGACCGGCGACTCGAGCAGCAGAAGACTTTCTTTGAAGGCGAGGTTGAGCGTTTGAAGGAGTCTGAAGAGCGTGCCGTCGAACAGGCTCAATTCAACCTGGATCTTCTGAAGAAGCAAGCTGACATTGCCAATGAGAAGCAACAAAACTACGAGAACGAGCTTGTTGCACATGGCAAGACCATGGACAATTTGAAAGAGCTACGCGGCGAGAGCAGTCAGCTACGGCTGGAGGCAGCCGACCTCAAGACCCAAGCTGAAACTGCACAAACGACCTTGCAACAGAAGGAGGCAAGCTGGTCAGAACAGAAAGATCGCTACGAGCAAGAGCTCGCAGATCTCAAGAAGCGCAGAGAGGAAGTTGCTCAACAGAACAGTCTGCTCCATGGTCAACTCGAAACCTTGACGCAGCAAATCAGTGCGCTGCAGCGAGACCGCACCGCTATCACCGAAAGCGCTTCGGTCACCGAAGTCGATTCAGACGAGTCGAAGAAGAACAGTCTTGAAGATCTTCAAGAAGTCATTAAATACCTTCGTCGTGAGAAGGAGATCGTCGATGTTCAGTACCATCTAGGCCAGCAAGATGCGAAGCGCATACGACAGCAACTTGACTTTACTCAAAAGCAGCTTGATGAGACTCGTCTCAAGCTGGACCAACAACGGCGATCAGAAGCTGATTCTGAACGTAACGCCATGAGTCATAGTAAGTTGATGGAACAGCTGAACGACCTTCAGGTTTACCGTGAGAGTTCTGTTACTCTCCGCGCCGAAGCTAAGCAGGCTTCTCAAGCCCTCGGTGAGAGAACTAAGCAAGTGGAAGAGCTCACTGCCCAGATTCAACCTCTCCGAGCTCGCGTTGCTGAGCTCGAAAATCTGGTTGAGACTCGGGATGGTGAGCTCAAGATTCTTCAGAACGATCGCGATCATTGGCGTCAACGTACTCAAGACATCCTCTCGAAATACAATCGCATTGACCCCGCCGAGCTTGAAGGCATGAAGGAGCAACTGACCAACCTGGAGAAGGAGCGCGACGACGCGTTGGCTGCGCGGGACGATCTCCAGGCACAAATCGATACGATTCCTGAGCAGATCAAGACTGCCAAAGATCAACAAAAAACTGCACTTACCGACCAGTTCAAGGGTGCGATGAAAGCCAGAGTCGACAAAAAGCAGTCTGAGGTCGATACCGTCACTGCCGAGAAAAACACTCTGCAACAAGAGCTAGATGTAGTCCGCGAACAGCTGGAGTCTGCACGCAACTACGTGCCCAATTCGCAAGACAACCAAGTGAACGGCGATCCTGCTCAGAACCCGGGCGAAGTTGATTTAGGAACCGACGCACGCATAACGGAGCTTGAAGCTGACATCGCTGAGAAGGATCAGCATATCGCTTCCCTCAAAAGCGAGAAGGAATCTGCTGTCAACGAGAAGGAATCTGCTGTCAAAGCCAAAGAGGATCAAATGAAGGCTCACCTCACCAAAAAGTTCAATGAGTTCAAAGAAGCGGCGCAGAAGGCGAAGGAAACCGCTCTGCAGGAGCTGCGGACTTCGCTTGAGACGACGCATCAGCAGGAGCTCGAGAAACTTCGGATCGAATTGGCCTCAAGCCCGGATGCGCGTGAATCAGACGCAAAACCCCACACCGTTCCAGTCGGAGAGAGCTCTGACCCGCCTCAGGCTGCACCTTCGACTGAGATTACTGACGACTTGCTCATGTCTATCCCAGCGGAGCGTTATCGTTGGGGTGTTCAGAACATTCCATACCTGAAAGAAATCGTCACCAGAAGTGTCAAGAGCAGGGTGGAGAAAGAAGTCGCGCAGCTTAAAGCAAGTGGTCAATTCGCAGACAACGCCGCTGCTCAAAGTACTTCAGCCGATGTTACGACCGTCATCAGTCAAAAACAGGCTGAATTTGACGCGGAAAAAGAAGCTCTGGAGAAACGATATGAAGAGCGTCTCGAGCAAGAGAAACAAGAGCTTATCGCTCAGCACGAGGAGGCTCTCGAGAACCAGAAGCTCGGATTTTCTGAAGAAGCGGCTAAGAAGATTGAGGAACAAGTAAAGAACGCGGAAGCAATTGCTGCAAAGGAGACTGAGAGGCTCGTGGCGAATGCTACCACTATGGCAGAGAAGAAGTCCTCGGTGAAACTCAACATGGCTACCAATCGAGCTAATGTGGCATTGGCAAAGATCCAGGTTGTGCAAACTGCTGCGGCTGAGACTCCTCAACGAGCCGTGAGCGAGGTTTGGGAGGAAGCCAAAGTCGCAAAGCCGGCTCCTGCTGCCAGACCTGCCGCTCCTCCAGCAGATGCCCCAGCCACTCCTGCGCCTGCCCAGGATTCCTCAGAAGAGTCGAAAGAATCGGCTGTCGCCAATGAGGTGTCTAAGGATCCTGTCGACGCCGAGACAGCCGAGGAGACCAAGCCAGAGGCTAATCAGGCGCCACCTTCGGCTCCTGCACAGACTGCTCCAGCCCTTCCAGCGCCTAATGGACCTGCCAAAGCCAGTGTCGGAACTGGTCCAGGGGCTCAACGCAATATCTCGGGCTTGCCCCGAGGCGCTTCTTCTATCGCTCGTGGTCGCGGTGCGTCGCAGATTGCACGCGGCGGCACCGGCATTCCCCGGGGTACTCAGCGTGGTGGAGGGCGCGGTGGAGCTCGGTCTGTGTCCATGGGAGGGGCTGGTGGTAGAGGCGGTGCCGCCAGCAGCCCTACACGCGGCGGCCTGAATCCAGGTGCGCAAGGATTCGTGCCAGGTGCAAAGCGAGCTCGTGAGGATGGTGATGGCGCAGATGGCGGACAAAAGCGCCTGAGGGGCGGCGGGCAAGGATCTTAGAGAGGCGGCCGATGTTTCGGGTGGAAGGCGAGGATGGTCGAGGTTCGGACGGCAGACATTGACATTTCATTTGTGATGTTGTTATGTACCAGCACGAGCGCGCATATTTAAGGGGCCCTCAATGTACGGGATGCACGGAAAGGCGTTTTGTCAAGTCGGACCCATGGGCGGTGATACGCGCGGCGAACACAGAAAAGCAAAGGGATGAACACGGCAGAAGATAGCAGCCCTCCTGAGTAGCCAGGAGAAGACTCGAGGTAGATGTGTACAGTAGTACGAAGGCTTCGCTTTGAAGAAGCAAGAGCCTACAAGTTCTGTCGCCGCAATGGTTTCCCTCGTCTCTCTATGTATGGTAACCACAAACGTGCCTGTGCTCATTTGTCCATGTGCTATCGCTGCACGCTCTGCCTCTTGGCCGCCACCGCCGCCCGAGCCGCGTTTCGCAGCAGTATACTCGTCGCCTCACGCTCCTTGTCCGTGCCTCTGATTCGTACCGCCTCCGCTTCCTCAATCCGCTTCCATGGGCCCCGGCCACTATCACCACCAGAAGGGTTCTTCTCATCGCCAGCACCCTGATTCTCCTGTGATGCCGTTGTATAAGTAGTGTTAGGTGGCCGCCGACTTCGCCGCTGGTTCCCCTCGCCGTACACAACGGTCCATTCTGGCACGTCGGCCGTCACGTTGACGTTGGCGCAGATTTTCGAGTGGGCGCCGATGGTGATGCCCGGGTGGATAATGGCATGGGGTTCGACGAGGGCGTAGGAGTGCAGGGTGGTGGAGTGGCTGATTTGGGCGTGTGGATGGATGTGGACGTGTGAGTGGAGGGTTGTGGGGGCGGTGAAAATGGACGGCGAGGAAGGTGGGGGCAGGTGAGGGGTGGAGGGTTGGGAGAGGGAAGGGGAAGCGGAGGGGTTCGGGTCGGGCGAGGAGATGCTGGTTGTGGTGTGGGCGTTGGCGGCCGGGGGGTTGGTGGTGGTATTGGAGGTGGGCGAGCCGCCGATGGTGGCCTTTTCAGAGATGATGTTATTGGAGCCGATATGGAGAGGGTGCGTTGTGGTGGTGAGGAGGGCGCGGGGGTGGACCAAGTTGTGTTCGCCGAATGTTATGGGGTGAGTGCCGCGGATGTAGGCGCCCGGATCGAGGTGTGTCGTCGGAGGCAGCGTTACCGGTGGGCGGCTGGAGGTGGCTGCTGAGGTAGATGGCGCAGAGGACTGAGAGGCCTGCGAGGCTGCTGACGAGGACATTGCTGTCTGATGTGTCTGAACGAGCCTGCTCGACTGCAGATGGCATCGTATCGATCTAGACAAGATGTTTGGGCTAGGGAAACAAAGAAGGCGTCCACTTCTCAGTGGCGTGTGATTGGCCGGTAGCGGATCTACTTTTGCCTTGCGACGCGCCTCGACGCGTTCTACTTTGATGTCTTAGCAGAGCAAACATGTCATACTACGATGTTGACGCAATTCTGACGGAATCGCAGAAACTGCCATGTACTTTCCAACTAGATGTACCCGGCTTGGGGTATCTTGACGGAAGCCCGGGCGAGACGGTAGGCACGGTCCACAAGTGTCCTGGCGAGAAACTTATGCTGGAGATAGATTACGGCCGGAACCAAGATCGAGCTCCCGTTATGGCTGGGAACGATGTTGGCCGTGGCGAACAGCAACAATCCGTCGCAGTCAGCCCTGGTGACGCTGGACTTCCCGGCACCATTGCAGACCCGGGTGATTAATGCACTCGAGGCAGATCCAAAGTCGGTGGACATCAGAGCGCAGGCGCCGCATTACTACGCGCTGGGATCGAAGATCCTGGAGCTGTTTGAAGATGATCAGATTGTGGAAGTCTTATTGAAGGTGAGTTGGCACTCTTCCTTGCAGGATCGAGTCGACGCTGATACTAGGCAAAGACATTTAGACAAAGAGCAGCAGAGATTGCAGACCACGCGCACAATCCAAGGGGAGCACTTGGAGAAGGACAGGAGTTTCTGCGCGGATTGGACGAAATGGAGAGGCAGCTGTTCAAAGCGGCTCATGAGGGGCCCAAGGCGGTCCGACAGTGGCTGATAGATATGAAGAGGATCAGCTAACGAATGCTTATGAGCAAATGAAAATGTCATTGGGTATCATATCCTCCAGCTTAGCCAACGCCACCTGCTGCCTCCTTGACCTTGTCTTTGTTCTGCTCGGGCGGCTCGTCGACAAAGGTCGGCGGCACTTCATCCTGTAGGAAAGAAGGCATGCCTTCGCCCACGCCCTGCTCTTGCTCAAACATCATGTCCTCTCCCAGCGCCTCGAGCTCGGCATCCAACTCGGCCTCATCGACATCCTCCGGTACATCATAGGCACGACTTATGCTCTCGTTGATCTCATTGCCAATCTCCATCAAGTCCGCCATCTCGTCTTGCATCTTCTCGATCTTGTCCACGTCGATCTTGCCGTATTGCTGCTTGAGGGTCTTGTTGGTGGTCTTCAAGGTGTCGACCGTAGTCATGACATTTTTGAGGTTGTCCTGCATCATGTTCGCCTGCTCCATGTTCCACGACTGCTGCAGTAACTGATCCTTCTGCGATTCGTACTGCTTCTTGCGTTGAAGGATCTTGAGGGCTTTTTGCTTGATAGCCTGCTTTCCGGGCCCGTCTCGCATCTTGCTCAGCTTTTGCTGGTAGCCTTGAAGTTCAGCATTGGTTTTGGCGAGCTTGACATCGATGGCTTCTACCCGCGTATCGAGCTGCGACTTGTTAGTAGAGCAGTTTGGCATACGAGAGGATGCGGATGTACATTGCCGATCGCATCGTTCAATGTCGCCTTGGGCGCCTGCGACTTGGTGCCAAAAAGGCGATTCATGATGTGACTACCGCGCCCAGCCGTTCGGAGAGAGGTGTGGCGGTGGGAAACGATATGGATTATGAGATTGTTTGCAACGAGGGGTGCCTGCCACAAGCGTACAGGTCAAGGGCACTGACAGCTGCGTCATAATAGGCAGCGAGGCTTCAGGCGCGCTTCGGCGGGGGCTAGGCGAGGCTCCGGTGCGCATGCAGCCGCCTATTGCCGTGGGCAGCATGGGCTCGCTAAGGGGAAATTGGCCATCACCATGATCTGCCATGTATTACCATGTGGCATCCGAGGAAAACGTTCCGCTGACACGGAGTGTCACCTACACAGTATAATCTTAAGTTCTATGGCATCATAGGGGAAAAGGGGTTGCATAACGAACTAGTTGGGGGCTAAACGGTCTCTCGCGTGCCTGGACAGGTCTGCCAAACAGTGCCTGCCAACTGCCTGTCATAGCGAAGCGACCCCCAAATATTTCAACTGCGGCGACACAGCTGTGGTTATCGTGTCCTTACAGCCATCGGACATCCGAAAACACCCTTCCATGGTACACGAGTGAAACCCGAGTCAGTTGCCCGCACTTTTTTGGAGACGCTGGTCAGGTCCGGTCGACGGTCGACGAATGCCAAGCGCGAGTTGTCTGCCTTTGTCGCCGTCCACCTTGACAACTCACGAGACTCGACCTTTCACCTCAGCATCCGCACGTCGCATCCTGGCCGCGCGGGAACACGCCTCCTTCTAATTACGCCTCCGGTGGCCTCAAGTGGCCAATTCTCATTCCAGTCACTCCTTTGTACTACCTAGGTGAGCAGCTCTCTTGAACCCAAGTCCCAACTTGCCAGCCGAAATGCGTCCTTCCGCAACCGCAATCATAACCACTCCGATACCTTGCTCTTCCTTCACTTTCAACAAGGGCGCCTGCTAATACGTGAACAGCGCCGGATCGCGAACAAATGCGTTTTCATCCTTTACCCCTAAGCTCCAGTTTTCACGGCCACCGCATGAATTGCGCATACCCTTAGTCATCGCCGTCTGTTGGACATTCACACCCTCTAGCCATCATGTTCTGGCGCTTTGGAGGATATTCCAACATATCCACCATCGACACCCTGCTTGACAAGCCTAATCTTAAACTTGAAGATCTGTTGGAGGAATCGGACCTCATTCAAGAGCTGAAATCTCATCACACCAAACTCATAGAATTTCTTCGCGACGACGATAACCTCCATGCCCTCCTCAAATATGTCATCGCTCCTCCACCCAAGAGTTCTGACGAGGGCGAAGAGGGGAGTGAAAAAGCCGAAGACGAGGATGTGTCACCTCAAGAACAGGACGAGTCCGAGAAGAAGCGCCTGAAGTATGCCTACGTCGCTTGCGAAATCCTGTCATGCGAGACATGGTCGATCACCGAAGCCCTCATGGCCAACACACAGCACTTAACTGAGTTCTGGGATTTTTTACGGAAACCTCCTGCTCTCGAGCCCCTCCAGGCTGGCTATTTCACCAAAGTCAACGAGTGCCTGCTCGAGAAGAAGACTGAAGACATGCTCGATTTCTTTAAATCTCTCCCCGGTATTGTTCCAGCCATATTGCAGCACGTCGATTGTCCCATGGTTATGGACCTCCTGCTCAAAATCATCAGCCTCGAGAGAGCAGATGGAGGCACTGGTATCGTTGATTGGCTTCATTCCCAGGATTTAATCCCAATGCTCCTTTCAAGCCTGTCCCACGAGTGCAATTCTTCGACCCAGACTTCGGCTGGCGACTTCCTGAAAGCTATTATCACCATTTCCGCAAATGCTGCTCAGGATCAGCAGTCATGCATCGGCCCGAACAGCCTAACCCGGCAGCTCGTATCGGAGCCATGCATTGAATCTCTTATCTCCGCTATGCTGCGGGGCGGCAACCCGCTGACTGTAGGCGTCGGCATTGTTATCGAGGTCATCCGGAAGAACAACTCGGATTATGATCCCGAGGGCGGCGCGAGCGCTGACCAACCACCAACGAACCACGACCCCATCTATCTCGGTACGCTGCTGCGACTCTTTGCCAAGAATGTCCCCAATTTCATGGATCTGATCTTGAGCGCCAAACACACCGTGACCGAAGGCGACTTGACCAAAGTGGTCGACAGAGGGGAGCTCAAGTCTGCTTGGGGCACCAAGATTGAGCCTTTGGGCTTCGATCGCTTCAAGACGTGCGAGCTGATGGCTGAACTCTTGCACTGCAGCAATATGGGTCTGCTCAACGAGCGTGGCAGCGAAGACTTCGTCAAGGCTCGCGATGAGGAGCGCGAACGGCTACGTGCCCAGGGAGCCTTCAAGCCGCCGAAGCATACCGAGGATTCCACCGTCGACATTTCTGCGACTTCGTCTCGGTTTGAGAATGCCTTCTCCCCTTCAGCCTCTACAGAGGAGCTTCGTATTGCCAATGGCAGCGAGGATGACGGCTTCGAGAAAGTCGCTGCTCCTGATGCCGAATCTAACATGTCTACTGGCTCGCTAGTGAATCGTGATGACCTGGTCGACGAGCCGTTATCCCCAGCTCTACCTCAGCACAAAGAACCCCAGCCAGATGAAGATCCTGCTTCCCCGAGCAAGGGCTTATCGAACGAAGTACGACGACTAAGTCTCGAGGACACGCCCATGACATCGCCTCCGTCCGAACAGCAGCCTCTCGATTCTCCCCAAGACACCATTTTGCCTCGCCCAGAAGACAAACCCGCTCCGCTGTTCGCAAGTTCTAAGGACCCTAACAAAACTCCTACACCGAGCAGTCCTGAGCCCGTTAATAGCCCGTCCTCTACCAAGAGCGGGCATGTCGCAACTCCTAGTCAAATTGACGAATCTCTCCAGCAGGTCGAGGCTAGCACGATGGAAGGCGACCAGAGCGTTGTCAGTGACGAAAAGCCTGTGGTTGGTGACTACCTCAAGATGATGTTCGTGGAGAATCGTGTCGTGCCTACAATCTTGAGCTTCTTTTTTCGCTTCCCCTGGAACAACTTTCTGCACAATGTGGTGTACGATGTGGTTCAACAGGTCTTCAATGGCCCCATGGACCGCGGCTACAACAAGTATCTGGCATTCGACCTATTCGAGACTGGCCGGGTGACAGAAGCGATCATCGAGGGCCAGCGACGCAGTGATGAGGCTCAGCAGACCAAGAACATGCGCCTTGGCTATATGGGCCACCTCACTCTTGTTGCTGAGGAAGTGGTCAAGTTCGGCGAGCGTCAAGCGCGGGACCAAATGTCACCACCGGTCAAGGATTGCATCTACGGCAAGGACTGGGAAGAATATGTGACCAAGACTCTCGCAGAGACACGCGAGCGCGACAATGCCATTCTTGGCGGTTTCCGTCCCGAGAACGGTCTAGGACCGCGGCAAGCTGTGCTCAATGCTGTCAACTCTGGCAGCCTGGGCACCTCTACTGCGCTGGCCAATGCTGGTCTAGGCGGTGGCCAACCTCTCGACAGCATCGAGCTCAGCAACAATCAGTTTGGCAATAGTGGTAGTACTACTAGCCAAGGCTTCTCATCCGGATCTCTCAGCGGCTTCGGTAGCTCTTCGGACGATGATGATGAGGATATGGACGATGTGGATGAGGAAGAGCGCAACACTGCCACCCAAGAAGATCCTAATGCCCCTGTTCCCCTGATCCCGCCCCCACCTGCACCTCTCAACATCGAGCCGTCGCGTGCGCGCCGAAGATTAGCAGACCGTCTGGCTCGTAGACAAGAAGCCGAGCAAGAGGCCGCCGCATCCGAGTTTGGGTCCGAAGCAGACGATCCATTCGCGTCTCTCAACGACAATGACGACCAAGACGGAAGTGACCCATTTTCGCTGGATGAGGAAGAGCAAGACATAACAGCATTTGGGAGAAGAAGCGATAATAACCCTTTTAGCAACTCTTCCGATTCGCACACGTTCTCCGCCACAAGAGGTCTGACTAGTCTCTTCTCGACCGGATCAGGCAAGAACAAGAAAGATGGGTTCGATGACTTGGACAACTCGTCAGAGAGTTCCGGATCCGACATTGATCCTGACAATCCACCCCTAGAGGCACGAACCAGTCTTGAGCGACGCCCATTGGACATTGATGACGATGAAGAGATGGGAGAGATGGTTGCTCCATCGGAAGAAGGCCCCAATAGCAGCGACGAAGAAGTGCTAAGCCCGACGGAGAAGGAGAAGCTCGGGCTCCCCTTTGGCAGTGGTAGCGGCAGTGGCAGCCCCGATGAGCATGTCTCTGAATTCGATGGCCAAGGTGATGAGGATCAGGAAGACCAGCTCGTGGAAATTGCCATGCCAGCGAGCAACAAGAGGAGATCGCGAGGCTGAAGCCTATACCGAAAGCCCACTAATCTCGTCACCATGAAACAGCACATCTTGGATACCCAAACCCAAGAACTTGAAGATGTGTACCAACATAACGACACGAAACAACCGCGACGAATCATCGTGATACCCTGAGCATGGCTGTGAACTTCTAGTTGACGATTCAATGCCTGTCGCAGCAACCACGGCGCTCCGGTTCGGTCTTCGCAGACGAAGCGCTGGAAACTCAGTTGCAGCCACATAGGTGTCTCGGCTCGTTCCTTGGTCCTCCTTGTGATCAGGCGAGCCGTGGCTTGTACAATACAAACGGATTCATGAAGTGTGGTGCTTTTCCTGATCTTCTTTGAATAGTGCTATCTTGCTCTATGCTAATCCAGAAAAGTCGTCTATGACTAGTACATAGCTCTCATGTCCGCCTGTCTTTTCCCAAATCTAGATCCCAAGTAACCCAACGCCATCGCTAGAAAGCAAGCCACTCCGTGCCTCGCCAGCTTTCACTGGTCATACAGCCTCACATCTGTGCCTGGGTCCCCCCCC